TGTCGGCTTAATTTCTTGATTGATATACTTACTATTTTTGCTATTGCCGCTTGTGCTGCAGGAGTCTCACAATGCTAGACAGGTTTTTCCACAACATTCACATCTGAAGAAAGAGAGGAGATTTATTAATTTTCGTTAAGAATAAATAAAGCAGTCTATATGATTTAGAATGGAAAAGCTAATAAATCCAATATCCCATGACTATGTAAAATATGTTTTACTGAATTTGGTATATAAATCAACTAATAAAAGGGTTTAGTCAGAAAATTACAAGCATTCTTATACTTGAGAGATCAGACTATACAATATAGACCGGTATGAGTAAAATGTTAGGTGAACTTGTTAACCCTTTGATTCAATACGCAAATAAAAGTTATTGAGCAATAGTATGTTACAGCAATGAGTATATATCCTCACTGATTAAAAAATCTAACTGGAGGTGCATGAACTATTTGAAACCATAAGGGGTAAGTAAATATGCAATTTCGGTAAATGGACAACTACGTACCGTACTGAATTAATAACTTCGTAGTATTTGACAAAAGCTGGCTTTCCCACATGTACTAAACAGTGCGATGCCCGGGTGTGATATACAACAATAGTATTTACCTTACCTTTTTCCAATTTCTTTCTACCTCAACTTTACAAAATATCATTAAAATCGACAACAACTGTCAAAGCAGGCACGAACACCATTCGTGCTATTCCTTGAAAGCAGCACACATCCGCTCGTTTTCGTCTCGTCAAGTATGTGCATTGGAGCGTGCTATCGGATACGATCTTCGGCCAAAAATGGCGGAGTTGCGCATCATGTTGTTTAATGTCATTGATTATATATATTAGTTTAGTTATTGTTAGATTAATTTAAGACCGGTTTTATCAATTTTTGTTATTGATATCACATTTTATTTTATTCGTGCCTTGGCGGGTCACGAATAAAACGCGGTGGGTCACTTTGTGACCCGCGGGTCAGTGGTTCGCCATCCCTGCAATAGGCAATAGATGATATCCACATTGCGCGACGTTCCGGATCTTTTGAAATCAGTGGAATATAACTGAAGATCCATTTCGTTGTCTATGCTATACGTACAGCCAACGGAACAATACGAAACAACCATTTTCAACAGCCAAACAAAACGGAGACGTATAATCCGACTTGCGACTGACAGGAGCCAAATGGACGTTTTTGTTTTATTGCCGTCCAGTAACAAAGTCACGTGACCCGTGCAAGTCCTCTATATGTAGAGGTTAGATATGCGGATAGGCAATTTCACAATGCCTTACCTTCCTAGAGTAATCCTCCAAGTTTTATCTATACACTTCTTGTTTTTCAATGTATTTCACGTGCAACTTTTGATTTCTCTAAATTTTTATTCGGTATAAGAAAATTCGACTTGCTATGAGTTTAGCCTCACGGAAAAAAAGTATTCATAAATGCAAATGAGCCAGTCACATACAATGATACTTATACATGCAAAATTTAACCCACGAATATTTTATGAATTTTGATTTGTAAATGAATAAACCTTTCTACGTGGTATGGATTTGATGATATTAAAAAAAAATAACGAAACAACCGTGGGTTCATAACCAAAAAAAGGTTGGATCTCATGAGGTGGGCTTCGGTATATTTTTTTCGCCCAACCACGCCTTTTGAATTTTTGTTGCTTTAGATTAGAACATTTAAATTCTAAATAAATAAAGTTTGATGAGAGTGGAGGATAAAGCGTCATACAATGGTCATCCCTTTTTCTATGACAAAGATTTCCTACAATCTATATATATATATTGCCTTTTCGCGCTTTACAGTAATTAATTAGGGCCAAGTGTAGGAAGATGTGAACGATATTTCGTTTATATGCTAGATCAGCGTTTCCCAAACTTTTTCGGCCACGGAACACTTGCACTTTTTATCTCGTCTCGCGGAACACAAACAATTGAAAGAGTAAAATTGATAAAGAAAAACGGTGTAATGTAGCGGTTCCCAATCTCGTGGCGAGTTGCCAAATGCGCCGCGAGAACCAACAGAATTGTGTTAAACATACCTAAAAAATAATTGAATATTTTGCATATTGCATTTAATATAAGTGCTTTATTGTTTATTAATCTAAATGCTGTGTATATAAATCAATTCATTCAGTTTACCATTCTATGTCGTTTACTTTCCCTTACTTAGTGTTTGCCTCTAATGGTACGTCTAATGGAGATAAAAGTACTTGCAGCAGTTTATTTATCCACTAAATAGAGTTTAGCAAAAATGAGAAATTTTTTTAGCATTTCAAGGTAAAACCAGGCAAATGTGGAGGCGGAATAGCGACGGTTATCGAAAATGCCCAATACCCCACCCTAGTTAATCCACTTTAGGCCGACGGTGACTGCGATATCGAAAGGTCATTTGGGCGACCAGTTAACGTTCCATAGATCGTCATGGCGACCATTTTAGACGTATTTTTTATTCTTTTTCCACGGAACACTTCGAAGACGCAAACGGGTTTACAAATAGCTGTTTAATCTCGACACATATGAACGACAGGCGAAGAGCAATTATTAAAGCACGGAAATAAATGACATATATAACTTTAAAACACTCACGATTCCTAGCTTTATTTTTTTAGTTATTCGCTCATTCGACGTAATAAACCCATCTGTACATCCTGTTGACTGCCGCATTATAATTGGTTTTTCACCATGACGTTTATGCAATATTTTAAAACGAAAAATTAATTCTACAGCCCACGACCTTACGTCATCAACAATCACTACCGCATAATGAAGAAAAAAACAATATAGGGTTTCTCCCTAATTAAGATTATACCTGAAAGACCATGTCAACTTGCTTTGATCTCCCTTAATAAAAGTTTTATACCCTATAATAATTTCCGAAACGTGCTGATATTACGGTACCGGTAACGCGTCTGTGTTCTCACAGTAATAAAATTTATCGTCGGGTTCTTAATATGCCGTGTGCTTCACGTCCCTCTCATATAAAACACCCGGTGTTTATGGCGGCCATTGCGCCTATTAAGTCCATTTTGACATCATGGACATTTGTTTATAAATGCAGTATGTGTGTGTAAGTCTGGCTGTACCGGTATGTGCGTTTTGGTAAATAAGCTAGTTATGCTAATATATTTGCGTCATACGTAACATCGCGTTATAAAAATTGTGCTAACTTTTCGCGCACTTCTGCATTGCCCCTAGTAATTTTGCCTACTCATAATGTCGGAATAAATTTGCCTAGGAAACAATCTGTAGTTTAGTGGTAGACATAGTCTAAAATATATTGACATGCTATAAACAACCGAGCAGCTGATTGTGTTTATTAAAGAGCCATCGAGCGTGGGTAGAAGATTATGGAGAGATGCTGAATTTGAAGTGATAACGTACGGTACCGCTATAACCATGACTCATCAGCCTGACCTTCTGCGTCCGCAAGTGGAATGTATGTGCAGATGTTGCGGTACCGGTACCGGGTACCGGTATGCTGTATTCGCGATCAGTGAATTAAGAGATTAGCAATCTATTCGTGCATGCATGTAATCTCCATGTTCAATATTTGGTAGACTCGTACACTAACTGACTAAGACATGCAATGCCGACTTGGTTCCGTTTTGCACAGCTGTTTCTAATGTTGGTTTTTATAGGCATACGGTACCGGTACCGTAACGGTATGCCAGTCTGCAGTAGTGTAGGAATAATTCCTGACACAGTTTTGCAGTTACGGAAAGTTATTGACCGAATGTTTTTTCACGGCTGACTGCTGTTTTCACATTGTATCCCTGTATTCTATAGGTACCGGTAACAGAATTTATTGTGAGACATGTGTAGACTAAATTATATTATAACCTAAGACGCAGAAAAAGTTGATGCCGAGTGCAGCGGCTTCAATAGCACAGAAAATAGCGTATTCAATGCATTGAGGGAATAAAATTTATATTTTATTCGTTAGATGTATCACTGCTTTACTTTTTTATAAAAAAGTATCTTATTGAAGAAAAACTCAATCCAAATTTGACAAATCATACAAAAAAATTCACATCGATGTTTGGAAGTAGGTTACCTATTATGCTGCATATGCGTGCTTTTCAAAAACGAACATTACAAAAAACAAGTTAAGAACTAGGATTAGTGATGCTCATTTAGAAAATGTTTCATTAATCTTGGCTTCATCCATCAAGTGTGATGCAACAGAACGTGTCACATTAAATGTCATTTGTAATTTTTTTTACTCTTTGTAGGTCGAATGAGTTGAGTTCACGAGTTGTCGCAGTCTTCACGTGCTGCTTAAAATCTAAAATTTTGAACTTCTGATATGTTTGAAAAAATTAAGATTCATCGGCCATTCGTTGGTTTTTTAAATTTCTGAAAACATGTGCAGCCCACCAAGACTTGCCACCCCTTAATTTTGGCCCGCAAGCGACAAAAGGTTGCCGACCTCTGGTCCAGACAGAGATTGGAAAAATGAATTTATACCAATCTTATCATCTTTAGAAAGTATCCAAAATAATCTTTTATCGATTCACCAATAATGTTTCCTTTGTCATTACACGTCGTTTTGAAACTTTCAGTTACAGAAATAGATTTGTCAAGTGTTAATTTGTTGTGAATTGACCTTACCACTTGAACTCCCATTACTCCAGTATCGTACTTGGCGAGATTTTTTTATTTCATTTGGAGTGTCATAAATTCAATTTATATGCTGATATATTTTCAACTGTCATGTACTCGGTCTCTATATTGGCTACCGCATGAAGTAAAACAGGTTTTATTGTTAGGCCAAAATAAGTGAACAATTATAAATTATTTTTGATCGAATCAATTAGTGGTCTTAGTAGTGTTGAAATAGCCAATGCGATGAGCAGTAGAGCAAATTAATGAGTTGAAGCAGGTAAAGTGTCAATAATAATGTTATTACAAACAGGATGAGGGTATTTTGCTCTTTTGTATTTGCGTCTTATTGTATGTAATCTCCCATACAATTAAGTTGGAACAAACTAACTTTGGTCTTTTTTCTGTTCAAGATTTTTTTTTCATAAAGTACCGTACGATAAATCTGCCTTGGGACATACCCATGTCATAAAAATAGGGGAACGTTATTAATTGTATTGCTCAATGGATTCAAGCAAACAAGTTCGGGTTTTGATTTTGAATGATGGAGAATTCAAAGATTCAACACTATATCGGCTCCAAAGAGGATGGTGTGTGCACTTTATGCTTGGTCCAACACTAGTCTCAAAAGATGTAAAAGTTTTCTGCAATCATCCTATGCCTGGAAAGGCGCGTTTGGAACCTAACTTCTTTACTTTGGAGTGGGTTAACAATGCTGCAACTCTGGGTGATCGTTCAGATGCATTTGCTGCTATTGATATATGTAAAGCAGGTACTTTTCAATATCACTTCAAAGTAGGAGAAAAGCTATCTGGCTCTGGGTATTTTGTTGTTGATCCTATTTTGCGGGTTGGCTCAGATGATCGTGTGTTGCCCATGGATAGTATATGCATGCATACAATTTTACCTAAGTCGCTTGGATCATTTTCTGATTGGAAAAAGAGAATAGAAGTTTCTTATAAAACTGGCTATAATGTTATTCACTTGACACCTGTCCAGAAACTTGGTATTTCGAATTCTTCCTATTGTATTGCTGAGCAACTAAAACTCAATCCAGCATTTTCAGTTGGTGAGACAAGTGATGTTAAATGGACTGATCTTGGTAAATTTGTCGATGTGTTGAAAAATGAATGGAGTATGTTAACAATGACTGATGTTGTATGGAATCATACAGCAAAGAATAGTGAATGGTTGAAGGAATATCCCCAATGTGCTTTCAATTTAGTAAATTCTCCACATTTGAGACCAGCATACGTTCTGGACAGAGCTCTTTATTATGTTGCACTTGACGTGGGAAAAGGCTCATACATAGACGATGCAGTGCCAAAGATTATATCTTGTGAGGAAGATTTAACAGCTCTTGAAAAAATTCTTTCAAACAAAATTATTCCAGAGTTGAAGTTATGGGAGTTCTTCCAAGTTGATGTAGAATGTATTTTACATCAGTTTGACGCTGCAGTAGGTGAATTGAAATGCATTGAAGAAAATAGAAAGTTCTCTGAAACAATTTCTATCATACAAGATATGCAATTTCGCAGGTTAAAGTCGACAATTGATATCAATGTAGCTGTTTGCCAGTTTTACCAATCTTTGGAATCTCATGATATGAATGTTGCTCGACAAAACCTTGAAAATACCCTTGCTTGGCTTAACAAAATGAAAAAGCGAGAAGTGGAAGAAGACATGATTTCAGCTGTGAAAAATATTATTTCAACTATACGGTACGAACGTTTGGATGAGAAAGGTCCGAAAAAGGTTTCCGTTTCTGCAGTATCCCCATTAGTAACAGAGTATTTCTATCACTCTTTTCCAGATAAAGGTTGGCAAAAAGATGAACAGGCCATTTCTAATAAAAATCATGCTCAATATATTATGGCACACAATGGCTGGGTGATGGGTGCTGACCCTATGAAGAATTTTGCAGAATATCCAACTAAAACCTACTTTCGTCGTGAGCTGGTCTGTTGGGGAGATTCAGTGAAACTGAATTACGGTGCAAAGCCGGAAGATTGTCCTGTATTGTGGCAACGTATGAAACAATATACGGAAATGACCGCACACTACTTCCATGGAATCAGGATCGATAATTGTCATTCAACTCCCATACATGTTGCAGAGTACATGTTGTCGGCAGCACGAAAGATAAGGCCTGATTTATATGTTTTCGCAGAGTTGTTCACAGGCAGTGAAGCACTTGATAACATATTTGTAAATAAACTTGGCATTAACTCATTGATCAGAGAGGGGTTAGTTGCATGGGATTCGCAGGAACTGGGAAGATTGGTGTATAGATATGGTGGAGAACCTGTGGCGTCTTTTGTTCAACCTAACACAAGACCATTGGTTCCGAGTTTAGCACATGCATTGCTCTTCGACGTAACTCATGACAATGAAAGTGCAATTAAGCAAAGAACTCATTTAGATCCTCTTCCTTTCAGTGCACTTGTCTCAATGGCTTGCTGTGCAACTGGTTCCAATCGTGGTCATGATGAATTAGTGCCACATCATATTCATGTGGTAAATGAGAAAAGAAACTATGCACAATGGTCTGATAATGCTGATGATAACACCAAGGGTATGGTAGGAGGTAGGAGTGGAATCTTAAGGGAAAGGCGAGTTCTCAATCTCCTTCACCAAACAATGGCAATCAATGGTTTTACTCAAGTTTTCGTCGATCAAAGAGATTCTGATGTTGTTGTTGTTACTAGACATAATCCTATCACGCATCAGTCATATGTTCTGGTAGCTCACACTGCATTCGTCAATACAACACAGAGACAAGTCGCACCACTGACTGTAGAAGGTCATATTGAAAGTATTGCTTTCGAAGCCAAGCCTCAGGATGATGACAAGAACTTTGATCAACTTCTTTCTTCATTTGCTCAATATCCTGATGTCATCAATGGATTGACTGGCGTCAACATTCACTCAGACTGTGATGTTTCTCTGAACCAGAGCAGTTGTTGTGTCATAGAGTGTGATCCTGAGAATAAAAATGCACAGAAAATAGTGTTCACTGATTTCCCACCTGGCAGTGTTCTTGTGTTTCGAATGAAATTGATGGAATCAGCGGAAGCAAATGCAATTAAAGTTCGATCAATTGTGAAAAAATTAATTGATAACCAGGATATAGAATTTAAAACTGCCTTAGCGTCATTAAATTTGGAAGACTTGAATAGAGTTCTATTTCGTTGTGATGAAGAAGAAAAATCTGATGGTTTTGGCATAGGCGTCTATAACTTTCAAGGATGGGATTCTTTGAAATACTGTGGCCTGGTGGGTATAATGTCTGTCATGGCAAAGATACGAGCTCATAACGACCTTGGACACCCTGTTTGTAAGAATTTACGTGAAGGCAATTGGCTTATGGACTACATTTCATCAAGGTTGCAAAAACATGGAGGAACAAAACGTCTAGGTTTATGGTTCTCTTCTGTGTTTGATCATGTTTCGAAGCTCCCAAGATATTTGATACCAGCATACTTTGACATGACACTAGTTTTACCTTATGTAAAATTACTTGATGCAAGCTGGGGGCAGATGACCCCATTTATATCGAAAGGTAGTTCATTTGTCAAAACTCTCGCTCTTGGTTCTGTTGCATTATATAGTATTGTAAAGCAATCTGGTCTTCCTAAATTAGATGAGGATGAACTTGATCTTCCTTCTCTTGCTGCTGGTCTACCACACTTTTCTACTGGTATAATGAGATGTTGGGGACGAGATACTTTCATAGCATTAAGAGGGCTTATTCTCATCCCAGGACGATATGAAGATGCTAAAAAACTTGTTTTGGGATTCGCAAGTTGTGTTCGCCATGGCCTCATTCCAAATTTGCTGGGTGAAGGCAAGATCTGTAGATACAACTGTAGGGATGCAATTTGGTGGTGGCTGCAATGTATTCAAGATATTTGTGAGATGTGTGAAGATGGTTATGGATTTCTCAATCTCCCTGTTGGTCGAATATATCCAACAGATAATGAAGGTCCAGTATTGCCACCACAATCCCAGCAACCCCTTTTCGATGTAATTCAAGATTGCTTGCAGCGTCATGTTCATGGTATTCATTTTCGGGAACGTGGGGCTGGTATTGGAATAGACCAGAATATGGCTGATAATGGTTTCAATGTTGAAGCTGGTATAGATTTGTCGACTGGGTTTGTTTATGGCGGAAATAGTGATAATTGCGGAACATGGATGGATAAAATGGGAGAGAGCTTGAAAGCTAATACTAAGGGGGTTCCAGCTACTCCCAGGGATGGTTCTGCAGTTGAGCTTGTGGGGTTGTGCAAATCTGCTGTCAATTGGTTACAAAAAGTCAACAATTTAGGCAAATATCCTTATGATGGTGTTTTTGTCAAAGGAAGAAATACAAGCAAGCTGTCTTGGTGTGAATGGAACAATAAGATACAAGAGAATTTTGAAAGTGCATTCTTTGTTTCAGAGAGCAGGGAGTCACCTTTAATACACAAAAGAAACATATACATGGATAGTGTTGGTGCTAGTCAACCTTGGTGTGACTACCAGTTGCGTCCTAACTTTCCCATTGCAATGGTGGTGGCACCAGAATTATTTGATGTTCAGCATGCCTGGAAAGCATTAGATGTAGCACAGTCAAAATTGTTAGGACCACTTGGAATGAAAACTTTAGATCCAGATGACATGATATACAGAGGAGATTACAATAACGCTGACGATTCTGATGATCGCACTATTGCAAAAGGATTCAATTATCATCAAGGTCCAGAATGGTTGTGGCCAGTCGGTTATTTTCTTCGTGCGAAGTTGCACTTTGCGAATGAACTTGGCATTGAAACGTTGAAACAGACCATTGATTTTATTCAAGGATATCTTTCCACTCATCATATTCATCTTGAAAATTCTCTTTGGAAGGGGTTGCCAGAGTTGACAAATAGCAATGGATCATGGTGCAGAGATTCATGTGAGATTCAGGCATGGTCGAATGCCACCATTCTGGAAGTTATGTATGATGTAGAAAAGTATATTAAACAAATCTAGATGAAAAACTTTAATTTATTAAGTAAAGTATGCAGTAAACTATATTCTTATGCTTTGTATATTTTCATGCCTTCCATACATTTTTAAAGTTTCTGTAAAATGAAGTAATAGTATAAGTAGCCAATTAACTTAGTTAACAATTCGGATGAGATATTTGAAGCTTGGTAAAACAAAGTTTGTGGCAAAAGTCCTATATTTACTGTGTCCAACCTCATCTTTCAAAAGATGTGAATTTGCCAAGTGGAATTTATTTATTCATTTGTGTGTGTTTAAAATTTCACGTTTTAGCTTTATGCACTGTGTGATCTATTTATTATTTCAATTAAGAATTGCCTTTCAAAATGAAATCTTTTTTCAAATATTCAGCATCTGCATTGCGTTTGAACTTTTCTTGTCTCATTGATGCTTTGAATCTAACATTGTAGGTGAAATTTATGGAGACATGTTAAATTTTTTCAAATAGTTCATTACAGATTTTAGGTATTTTCATATAGATTTCATTGTTTTCAAATCAATTATAACAAATCTGCTTTTATGCATATTTATCACTGTCTGGATGAAATTAAATTCAGTGCCGTTGACATTATCAAGCAATATAGACATTACTTAGTAAGTTGATGCAAAGTAATTGTGTGTTATGCGTGTTTGCTTCCTTTTTTTGCAAAGAGTTTAGTTACGAGTTTTGATGTGTTTTTTTCCAAAAATATACGGACTGTTGATCACACTTTTACCATTGATTGAATTGTGTTATTCTCTGGGGGATTGTGGGCGCAAGGATTCATATCACCAATAACTAAGGGAAAAAGTGAAATAGTTGATAATTATTCAGCCAATATTCATATGCCAGGCCGTTGGTCTTTTATCTGCCCCGTTTCGCGCAAAAATTATTTTTTAACGTTCTCGCATTTGGTTGTCCTGTCAGGGAAATAGTATTTGACCGAATAATGGCGAGAGAACCGCTATCCATAGGTAGCCTATAATAATTATAAGCTGATTTCACCTTGTATATTGCGAAACACTAAACAAGGATTTTCGGCCCGATTAGGACAGAATTTATATATTTGTCCCGCAGGAGAGGAAGACGGCTTAACCATATGGCGAACCACGGCGTCTCGTCCGGTTTCCACTCCATGTCGGATATGACATTAGTTGTCAGTTATTTGTTTCAGATGTATGGACTGGAGAAAGCCGTAATTGACCAGCGGTTACGTGGACCCCCAATTATCTACACTAAATTTATTGTGATGTAAATGTGGAAATTCACCCGGAATCTATAACGCTATACCAGGCTTGTACTTCGCAAATCCGATTTCTGGTCCGGTTTCTATTTTTCTGAAGCAACTTTAGTTTGATATTTACATTCTTAGACATATCACCCAACTCATTGCTCGCTGTTGACGGTTCCACTATGCTTACACGAAACGATCAAACAGGTGCTGCGTAAATTAAATATAGGATACATACACAAATTTATTCTTACATAATTAATTCGTACATTGCTTATCCTACTCAAGTTTAATTATTTGACGTCAATATATACAACTTTGGCAATTGCAGAAAAATTCAAAAACAGCCTGAGTATATTCATTCATGCAGTATTGAGTTACTCCTGTCGAAATGCGTGACAACATGCAAGACCAATGTTTGTCGCAATACATCTGCGTCCGACGGTTCAAATTTGAACTACTACAGTGTACAGGCATGTTGACTGGTATCGACGACGTCGGAGCTGTTCTGACTCGCCGTGGATCTGGCTCTCGCTCGTGAGAACTTGTATTCCGAAAACCCTAAATGTAATCATTTTAGGTTTAGTGGAAAATTCGATTCGTCCTAGACACAAAACATTCACTTACATCGTGTTTGAACAAAGTATGATTGATTGCAATGGCATATTTTGCAATTTAATAAGCTCGGGAAAAGAATTCAACTCCCAAAAAACAATAACAAAGGTTTGGACACCGAAATTAAATTGAGTCAAATATTAGAATGTCGATACACTCTTACGTTCAAACTATTCAAAGTTTTTAAATACTTCAGATTAACATAACATAATTCAATATGCAGAATGGATAAAAATTGGGTACTTCCGAGGTAAGTGAACCAAGATGGCGGACACTGGAACGTAGTATGTGTACCAGGTTAGGGTTAGGCCTTAATTTTATTCCAATATTCCTTATTTTAGTTCTATTACGAGTTCCGGCACTAGCCAAGTGACTCCCGTAGCATTTGTACCTGAAATAATGGCCTGACCCTAACCTGGTGCACATACTATGTTCCGGTGTCCGCCATCTTGGTCCACATAGTTCGGGAGTACCAAAATTTGTGCCCGAGGAGTAAACATTCCATTTTCTGGGAAATCATAGTTGGAATTTGCTTTAGAATAAATGCCCCAATCTTGCAACATGTTTGAAATGTAGGTTAGAACCTACCGTATGTAAATGTAGAAAATACCAGGAGGCCTATGAGCAGGTATAGTTTTTCATTAACGCACATCATTGAGCTAAATGCAAAAGTGACAGCAGCACCAAGCATAAACGTTACGTTCCACACGGACATTGCAATATCCTGTTTCGTTTTATATCGTCCAATCATGATAACTAAAAAGTAAACGTAGTTGGTGTGATAGTTCAAAAACAAATCTGAATACCTTATTCAATAAAATATATTTCTTATCAGTAATGTCTCCGAAATCGCACTGATGCATATTATATTTTTAATTTCAAGGAGCTTTATGTATATAATCATGTAATAGTCGGATGTATTTATTTTCTTCCTTAGCATTTGGGGTATAACTCCAATTCTTTATTCAAGATATAATTCAAAAAAAGTGAGATTCTGACGTTTATAAAGTAACGTATTTGCAGGAAAAAAATTCGCCTTCACGTTATTCCAGAAAATTTGTGTTTGCAATCTAGAATGTGTAGTAGAACGATGTTGCATTTGATTTGAGCCTGACTGTCAAAACTCACAGCTCGGATTCGATATACTAGCGCCAACATGACAAAGGTATCATTATCATAAACTTACCGGTACTCCCGTAGCATAGGAACCAAGATGACGGACACCGTAACGTAGTATGTGTACCAGGTTAGGGTTAGGCCATAATTTCAGATACAAATACTACGGAAGTCAGTTGGCTAGTCCCCAAACTCGTAATAGGACTAAAATAAGGAAAATTGGAATAAAATATTGGCCTAACCCTATCCCGGTACACATACTACGTTTCGGTGTCCACCATCTTGGTACACATACTACGGGAGCGCCAACTTACCAATAGTGTTTGGAAGCCATATTCCTTCACATAATCCAAAGCCCAAGAACATAAGATATATCAACCATTGATCGTCGGTTTGTGGATTCCAGAATAGGCATATGAAGTACATGACTAAATTGAGAAGACTTGCGGCAGCAATGAGGACATTCCTGCCAAATTTATTCAACAGTTTTCCTCCGTAGAATGAAAGAATTGTGGATGGAGCTCCATGCATAGCCATACACACGCCGACCTGTGAAAAATGTTTGTATGACAAAAAAGTATCCTCCAAAAAGTGTGCATCGCATTTACATATCGATGAAACTAGATGGCTGTATCATAGAATATGATATAATAATGTTGTAAAAGTAAGAAGATAAAATATAAGAGTTATTCTTGTTTCACATAAGAGTATTCCGAAACTCCAGAAGTACAAGTACAATTAAGGTCTTTGTCAATAGATTCGATGTCTTACAAGTTGAATGCCGACTGTACATGACGCGTATGCCCTTGTGAGATCAGAGAAAACGAACGCTCTTGCCATTCCATAGTGAAATAATAAACCACTGATGAAGAACTGTTCCCAACTAAACATCACACTGCAAGTGGATTTGATCGTCGACCACGTTGATTTTTCATGGGCAACATCGGTTTTCTGCTAAAAATAAAAAGTATATATAAGCGTTGTAACGCGCGAGCACTAGAATTACAGACGCAAAATCGTCGTAAACTGGATATAAACGGTTTGTTGACATCCCCAAAGTATCAAAAATTACAATCCATATTATTTAACATATCGTCACGCTAATAACCGAATTCCATAAGTCATTTTTAGCAGTTTTGAGAAAAACGTAAAGAACTTCCTAATGATATTGTTATGCCATTGATGGTCAATAATTTGCCATGGTTCAATTTTTTGATCGTAGCCGGATTTAAGTTAATTTGTATGACGCAGTTAAATTGAAATTAATACGCGCTAAGCTAGAATCCGAGATGCAAAAATTCGAAAATACTTCGCCGAGGTTATTTCGCCTTTGTGACGTCACAATAGTCACAATAAATATGCATGTCATACTAAATCTTGATTTTCATGGGTTTCGGAATTCTTAAAATAAAATCTGAGTTAACAGACAGGTGCGCAGCATTCCATAACTACCTATTTTATAAAAAAAAAAACTCAAAATCGCTAAAAATGACTTACGCAATTCGGTTATTAGCGTGACGATATTATTCTATAAATTTTTCCATTCGTCGAGATACGTGATTCTATCGCCATATATTTATACATCATAATAAGAAAAGTAATCGAATTTGCGAAGATTTCATTTTATTATATCTCTGCTCTCACCTACTCAGATTTGAGAAGTAATCGCCACCATGAAGATATATCAATAAGAAAGAACCGCTAATGTCAAACATATGTAAGTAGTATAAACCATGTATATACTATTAAACAACGCAAAAACGGAATGCTCGGAATTTTATACCTCTTTATTTTCCAAAATATCTTCCGAAATCACTACTGAAACGTTTTGAATACCAGATGCTTTGTTAACTGCTACTTCATTGTTATTATTGTCATCAACTTTTCCATCCTTGTCAATATCCAGCTCATTTTCGTTATTGTTCATATCATATTTCCCCCCATAATCTATCTCGTCGATAAAGAATGTGTTATTAACTTCTCCTATGGTGTGAAATTTGGTAGTAGGTTCAGGGAATTTAGAATGAAATTCGACAACCTCTGGCTCAGAATCGTTTCGTAATCTATCCAGGAACCGATGGAATCTTCCACACCCAGGAACAACGAAAAAATTGATACAAACTCCGACCGAAGCAATCAAAATTAAAACGGATAGAAGAAGAATAACAGAGCTTTGGTGTGGGGGATTGTATCGACTTGAAAGAACATCGAGTACCGCCTGCTCCTGACAGTCATTTGCACCGCAGTGCATATTGATGTATTGCTCTATATCGGGCTGTGTTGCCAACGGGAAGCTCGTTGTAACGTTCGGTTGAATGTGCGGTTCATGATCGGTGGTAGCGGAAAATAAAATAACGTAGGACACCAAATTTCCCAATATCTGCAAAAGATATTAACTAATTTGCAAACTTACCACGAGCTATTCGGTAAAGCATTTTATATTTGATTATTGTGAGACACATGTTTCAGGTAAGGTATCTCGCGGTTTGACCATTTATTCTTTGTCGCGACATCAACATACATTTTATATATTATATTATATGATAAATCATGATCAGATATAAAATGTTAATAAATTAGTAAAATATATTTTATTTTATTAATAAAATATCTACATTACTGACCACAGCACCCAATCATTTGTATGCCAGTACCAGTCATCAGTGGGGTATCTAGGGTGTGGCAGCCATGGATCATGCCACGGGCGCCGTTTGAACAGGGGCGCAAAGGGGCGAAAAGTTCTAATCGTAAAATGTTTCAATGAAATATTTTTAAACTGGTTATAATGGAAACTCGTATTTTTACTCAAATTGCCAACCAACGATCTTGGGGGCAGATTTTTGAACTTTGTGCCATGGGCGCCATTTTACGTACATACGTCACTGGCAGTCATATACGAAGCGTTGATGTTAGTCAGTTGTCTCACCTGAGATGCCATATAGAAGCCGTAAAATTTTCCCTGAAAGCTGGATATGCATAAGTGTTCTTCAAGAAATCCACATTTACTGTACAACATTGCGAATTCAGTATTGAACGCACTAAAGGCAGGGAAAATGATTGCAATGGAAATCCCAACGCCGATAGAACAGGTCAACAGTACGTAAAGTTCTAGAAAAATATGTTTAAAACTAATTCTAGAATGAATAGATAGAGAGATTTATTGCCACAAAAAACAAAGTCAACACTATTATAAACCCAATACAATAAAGAAAATATTTCAGCAGTAATAACAGTGATTGATTATTGTTTTGCGCGGGTCGGCGGACAGGACCGATTAAGGTCATTACATTATATTTTAATCGTTATAATGATAATATACCTAATGTAATATGCGTGACGATAATACAATATAAATACTTAATAGAACATCGATAGTGCTATTTACCCGGGTAGAAATTTCCTGCTATGTATACAATAACGAGGATTTCTCCAATAATCAGTGTAGCTTGTGAACCGAATATTCGGAGGAAATTCGGAGTGCCAACAATGCCGAATATAGCCGATACAACATAACTTGTGGCAACAGATATTGTTCCTGAAAAGCAAATTTACATTGATATTCGATTGTACAATTTGAACACGAAGTGGACTTATAGTTCGTTTTTGGAAATTGTCTGCGCACTCCTGTTTATCTGCTTTTATCCACTTTTAACTCACATTAAACGTCGGCAATATTTATTTTACCTAGATTGACTTCTCGGTGTTTTTTTAAATTGTAAGTTTGACTGTTAGTTTATTTCTCCTAGCTTTATTTTCGGCGTTCCAGAAGTATGTGTACCAATATGGAGGTAACTAATTTTGTTCGCCTACTTTACATCAAGTTGTGTGAAGGGACTGAAACCTATGGGCAGGGGGTATATTCACTTGGCTAACACAAACAGTCCCCGAACCCGTAAAAGAATTAAAATAAGGAGAATCGGAATAAAATTATGGACTAACCCTAACCTGGTACACCTACTACGGGAATATCTTCATTTCTTACATGCTATTTAAAAATGATTTGTCTCTTTCAACCAGGGCTGTGCGGTAGGGGAAAATTTCTAATCGACTCCGACTAACTCGCGAAATTTTGACTACGACTCCGGTTCGTAAAAAATTTCGACTCCAACTTCAGCTTCGAAAGCATATGGTGACTAAAACAGGGGTTTGCAACCTTTAATATACGAGGGCCAGATACAAATGACTGGATGAAACCGCGGACCGCACCTTTACTTAACATAGGCTTTCTAGTAGTGTCAGACACAAAATCTTTGGTTATTGGTCTTGTAACATGCGTTGTTCGCTTTGCACAAGCTCAAATATAGGCATCGCAATACTAGATTAAATTAAACAACCTTCCTTGTGGGCCGCATTTGGCAGCAGGTTGCACGCCCCTAGACTAAAACATTGGTGCATCCACGTCTTTTTTAACTTCCTGACGTTGTGAGATGGCCACTCTCTTATGTTATGTAGCATATAGAATGAACTTCAAAATAAGACCTTATCATACCAGCTTTTGTTATTGGTTAGCGCGCAACGCCAAGGTTTATTGAATTATTTTCTTGTTGTGCGACGTTTTTCTATCGCAGCGGGAAGTACACGCGTGGAATGTAAGCGATATTTTATAACTTCCAAATGTCATATAACGTCCATTCTTATATTTCTGGGTAGGAAATGAGCTATTCTTCCATACAAGTCCATAACAAACATCCCAGACCTCATGGTTTACAACATTGCAAAACGTCTAAAATTGCGCAAATGCGCTTACTAGGGCAAAAAAGGTAACCGTTAAGAACGCCTAATTAATTGATGCTCATTCGGTTTCGGAAAAAAATTTAGACATTTATTATCACCATTAAAAAGTATCGAATTCCGTTTTCCGACTCCGAGTAATTAAAAATGTGACTCCTGCTCCAACTCCACATCTTACCTTTTCTAATCAGAGGTAAAGAAAAGTTTGTAAGAATCAACTGGTTCAAATTGAAATATTGTTCCAAGTAAACCTTTAGATTCTGATCCAAAGAAACTTAAAGTACAAAGGTGAAAATTGCCTAAAGTTATACGACTGCGGTATCTGAGAATCGTGGTTATGAAATTTTGAGCAATCTTTACAGTGTGAAAAGATTTATCGAGGAAATGAGTCATTTAGTTATACGACCCGTTTCTAACAACAAAAAAAATGGTACTCGTAGTATGTGAACCAAGATGGCGGACACCGGAACGTAGTATGTGTACCAGGTTAGGGTTAGGCCATAATTTCAGGTACAAATACCACGGGAGTCACTTGGCTAGTCCCCGAACACGTAATAGAACTAAAACAAGGAAAATTGGAATAAAATTATGGTATAACCCTAACCTGGTACACATACTACGTTCCGGTGTCCACCGACTTGGTTCACACACTACGGGAGTAAGCATTGTAAATTGCTCTAAAATGTTGAACACTCAACAACCAAATTAATGTTCATTCCATTTTATTCAAATTTTTTTTGTGACATCTCAGCATTTCTGATAATGATCCGCGAACTAACTACGAAAGAGTGAATCTATGGAATGATTTTTTTAAAATGACTCGCCACAGCGCAGATTTTTGTCAATATTGGCAGACTATTAGCAATGAAAAATAATCCACTCACCCGCGCTACCTTCAATGTTGAGGCTTGATTGAAGACTGATCAGAGCGAAGTAAGCGGCCATCACTAAAGAGGAGCCAACGCAATATATATAAAAAAGTATTTTGACTTTGCGTTTTGATCCAGAAACATCGCGTTTCTGCTGCTTCACGTAATTTATCGTATCTTGCGTGGTGTTATTCGTGTCGGTGTCCATAGTTAACGTTCCAGATGTCGACTAAAATATCTGTGAAACAAGTGTAATTTTAAAAAACTCGAATCATCGTATCATGTTGAATTTTTCTATTTGTATCTGAGTAACATAAACGTTACACAATCGTCAAAAATTTTGGGATGAATTATATAACTTACAAACTTTGCTGATGTTGTCTCGAATAAATTATAAACAGAGAAAGCAATAGAGCTACAAATTTTTAATTAGTTGAAATTAATAACAACTAGTAGATTGTAAAGTGCCCCAAAATCGTATAACGAATGTCTAACTTCAAAATGACTGAACATGGTCTTGGCATTCACACTCATTACTAACATCTGTATTTCTTTCAGCACCGTTTTCCTTTTTGTCGTCCCACTAGATCTTCACTTTTCGGAATCGCGTGTTCTGATGTTGAATGAACTTTAAATAGTTATTCCCGATTGTAAAATGGTAGCACGATACATTCACTCAATGTACCACGGGAGGTGAAGTAAAAGTTAAACACGGAGCACTAAAAAATCCTGCTCTTTCCAGCTCAAGCCATTGATCATTATAAAATCCGACATGACGTAACTATCAACGGCGTGGTTCGACTTTTGAAAAATAGTTTTGTACTGTACTCCCGAAGTATGTGAATCAAGATGGCGGTCAACGTAGTATGTGTACTAGGTTGGGGTTAGGCCATAATTTTACTCCAATTTTTCTTATTTTAGTTCTATTACGAGTTCGGGGACTAGCCAAGTGACTCCCGTAGTATTTGTACCTGGAATTATGGCCTAACCCTAACCTGGTACACATACTACGTTCCGGTGTTACTATTGAGGCACAATGGGTTTATTTTCCATAACTTTTCTTTCGTTTCAAACACATAATAATAATAAAACTGTAGTTGCAAGTTTTAGATTAATTTTATTTATTCTCTGGTATTTATTGGATTTGGCAGCATGCTGTTTCAGTTTCATCGAGTTGGTGTTCAAATTCTATTATAATGTCAGCCTTTAATTAATCAGGTTCTCAAACTCCATATATGCATTGTTCGTTTTTTGCATACGCGCTCAAATTACGTGGGATGAATAGCATTTTTTCCTATTCTAGTATAGGCCGGGTATACTCACGAGCAGTAATGGTTTTCAAACGTACGTGTGCCTGGTGGCATAATATCTTATAATAAAGTTGGAAATTGAAATTCAAAAAAATATTAATTTTAAACGTTGTAGCGTAAAAGGCTTAGGGCGGCATGCGCCGGAATTAACTCGCCACTGCACTACAGAAGCGGAATAAGGTGGTTCATAGACACGCCCCCTCGATTGATATCACTATAAAATAAGCTTGTCCATTGTTTCGTGAAGATAGTTAAGTTTAATAATATACCAGGCCTAGTTGAATAGAAATCGCTTATTTCCATGCTCGGATTCCACGTATTAGAAACCCGTAGCAAGGGAATTGCTGAATTTGTTGGTGTTGAATTCCTTCGTCGTCGACGTCTGTTTGAAGCATCGAACTGATCGTTTTAGCTAGGTAGGATTAAATATTTACCCCGGGGAGAGGGAAGCCGATGGGACGACTCAATTATATGGTGAACTACGGCCTTTCGTCCTGTTACCGGTTCATGTCGGGCAGGGGCGTGCCAAACTGCCCGAGGCGAGTTTCTGATAATGTACCTACCTGTACCTTGTACCTAACTTCTTGAATAATTTGGGTGATAAACAGATTATAGATGTCGTTATACACAAGAATAAATCCAGTAAAGGTCAAGTAAGAAAGAAACGTTTGTTTTATTAAAATGAGCATCAAAAATGTTGCGATTGTAAAATATAGAAATTTTTGTTGGGGGGTCAAGGGTCGGGGAAACAACCCTTGTTGAATAACCATCACCACAGAACACATCATGTTAGCTTTTAATTAAATAAGAACACATCTAGAAGAGCAAGTGTAATAACGCAAACTCTACAGCTTGGTTCTGCTGCCTCCCTACAATGTGCTGCCTGGGGCGGTTGCCCTCTTCGCCCCTCTAGGCACGCCACTGATGTCGGGTATGGGATTAGTTAACTAGTTATTTGTTTCAGATGGACTCCAATGTTGGAGGAAGTCGGACCGACCGACCTGAACCACTCTACTATTCCCACCCGAACATATGAACAAACAGGAAGTGGTAGTTCAAATACGGTCAGGTTTTCTTGTTTTCCCCGCTAATGTAAGTATAAGTATAAACCAACCTACACGAACTAATCAGAATGTTGTAAACTTTTGATAGTACTTGTTAAAATGATGTACGCATCAGCGCGACGTTATTATTAATTATAACGATTGGCGTAGTCACTTTATTCGCACTGTAGAGTTGTTCAAGCAGGCGAAAATTTTTGGGCAGACGTGAATAAATTTTGGGTATTCTAGTCTTTTCCACCAATGTTAAAATTCCTTTTGAATTAAATTAAGGAGGACGTTCATAGCAGTTAAACTACACTATAACACAGCATATATATATTCTTTTCATCGAATTTTCGCGGCGGACTGTTCAACTCTGAAGCGCAATTTACTTGGAAAAAAATAGTATAAAAGTGGCCGCAAAACTATGGGTCACATAACGCTTTGAGGGCAACAAAACAAAATAGTTTGTATAATTTTGACCATTAAATTTTACAATCAAGCGGCAACGGCCGGTTGCAACTAGTTTATTATTGTGGAAAGCAAATATCTCTTTTATTGTGAACGCCCCTCATACGCCTAACTTACAGGTCGTTAAAGCATTAATTCGGACAGGCACAAATATCGTAGGTCTACATCAGTATTTTTATGCACTGATATGAGAATCTGTACCTACCGTGTTTCCCCGTGTCAGACAGTGTCTTATTTCAATTTTCTTTCGAAAAATATCACTAGGGCTTATTTTCGTGGGATGTCTTATAATTTTATTTATCAAAAACCAAACTAGAAAGTACAGAATTAGGAGATTTCCAAACACAAAAAATATTAAAACCGATATCCATTTACTTAAATCACACGTTTTCCTCCAAGGTTGTTCGGTTCGCGGGCCACCATTATTTTTGCATTGTTCGCGGGCCACAATAGTGCCAAGATTAGGTAAACATTGTAATATAGAACGAACACTTTTATTGTGCACACACGAACATCGATAAGATTCTCAAAGCAAAATCCCGTACCGTTGAAAAATGCTCATTGCTCACGAGATTTTAGATTACCTTATATTCTTTTGTCACCGACTAGGCCTGGGAATGGTTAACCGGTTAACCGATTTCAGATGGTTAACGGTTACGATTCATTTTCACCGTTGACCGGCATCTCAGGTACAAATCATCTTTATACCGTACAATTTCTTCAAATATGATTACGTCATCGCGAATTTATCTCTTGTGTCGTTCAATTCAAAAGAATATTACTAACTGTGTGGGTAAGGACTCAATAAATGTGAACAATAATGGAAGTACCAAGATTGCTGATTGTGGAAATTTGACAATGATGAATTCAGAATCAGTTTTCGATCAATTCCGAAATATATTGTATACGATTTCATTGCAAAATCGGATAATCAATGTCATACAACAAGTGCGCAGTTGATGCCGTTTTTCTTTATGATATATATATCTCGAAGTAGAATTTGCACATCGAACACTGATAATTTGTCACATAAAAGACGTTTAACATCGGAATCAGGTTTTCTAAAATACTTCCACACGCCCGAACCACGATGCCTATCTCTTGCAGCAGAGCAATCATGAAACTATCTCGATTCGTGAATAATTTTGAGCGATACCGGGATAAGAACACGCGAAATTGCTTTATAAGGATTGTGACGTAACAAGCTGAAAGTACAAATTATTGGACACGTTTAGTGGCCATAACGATCGTTTCAAAATGTTGTTGTTATTGTTATTTTCTTTCGTCATTATCATAAAAAAATCGCCTTTCTCTTCGAATACTGGACCAATTGCTTTGAAATTTTCAGTGGTGAAAGATAAAATTTTTCTCCAGAAGGCTATTACTTTTTTTCGCTATGACGTCATCAAAATTATTACCATTGGGTGGCGCTACGTAAAATCTGTTTGAGTCAGCTTTTCAGAATAACTGCAGATTGATTGATAACCATATGTGAGGTACAGGAGAGTATTTGCTAAATTTTGTGACAAAAAGTCATATTCTTTGTGATACAGTGCTGTTTAGGCGGACTGAAAAAAAACCGACCCGATTTATATTGTTTAACCTACGCCAACCTAGACTAATAGACTTTGCATTTGATTTTTAGTTTTCTATGATGCTTTATTGTTCAGTTGTTAGGATACCGTATATTACCGGCCAAAAAGATAGAAAGTCTCTTAACAATTTAGACTAGGCAAGCATATCATTCAATTTAACTAGTCATAACACCAGTCAATTCAGTAACATTAGTGATGTAACGATATGTCAAAAGATTTTTTCTGGTTATTTTCAGGAATAAACAACACCAAATGCGTTTTTTATTACCCTTCAGTAAGTGCCACGTGGGCCACAGATAATGAGGCTGCGAGCCACATGTGGCCCGCGGGCCTGAACCACCCTGCTTTAGATTAATCATTTAAAACGTATGGGAGAGATTTCTTGCCATCGTCCAGGTAAAAAAATTCGCGTTATTGACTAGGTCTTATTTTAAGGAGAGGGCTTATATTAAAATCATTCCTAAAATTCAGTGCCACTATCCCCTGAAAGTGAAAAATCATGGACTACATTGAGTCTTCGAGATCCCAGAAAACGCATAAGCATTAACAAAATGGCGGAGGTCACAGTGTGATTCACTGGCTACCATTTTGGTTTTAATGACGTCACGCTGATGTTATTAAGCCGATGTGTGCCCACCACTGATCGGACGCTTGGGAATATGGTGATATTGTTTCACTCTACTCTCGGAAAAGGTATACTTTTTATTAAGTGACCCTGAAAATATATAATACTGCCTTAGGTAAGGGAACATGCCAGCTCTCAACGCTATCCATGATCAGGTGAACTCAGTCGGCAAGACCAATGGACTGCAACCTGTAGTACCACCTCAACGATCCCGGTGGTGGAGTGGAATGATATCAAAATAGGTCAGACACCACAATCGAAAATAGGTACAGCTAATCTAGCTCTAGGAACGAACCTATTTGAATGCGACGTGGTTAAGTTTGTTGACAGCTCAGAAATCATTACTTAAATATCTTTATAGGCATTTGTCAGTCTGTTAGATACACGCGATATCTCACGAAAGCGAGGTTGAATCTGCTCCAAATTTTGCATTCATCATACACTAAGAGTCAGAGCGAAGTACACACCGCTAGATGGATAAGTCCGCAGTCTCTGATCGCTATCTCGAACGGTCGCTGCGGGATAAGAATATGCCTCCAAGTGTGCATCAAGTAGACAGAGGAGCGAGCGAGCGAAACTGAGTAAAACGTTGTCAGCTATATGAACACATCAGACTCTAACCTAAAGCCAGATCAATTCAGATACTTGCAGGAGTGGTTTTGAAGAGTTGTCATGTACCTACAATGTGGGTAACTCCGAAACTTCACTGTAGAACTGTAGAATCATACCAACAGGCAACAAGCAACTGAGGCGAAACGACTATTCAATAAATCCGCACCAAGTGCTTGCATGGTCATGACTACATATTTTACGGTTTTGACTAATCGCACCAAACTACATAGCAATGCACCATGATCACCGCACATGTTACTTTATTTGTCACCGACCGAAGTTCAACATCAGAGCTCTTACACAATGCACGAAATTATGGAATAAAACAACTACTTTGAACATGGCCCACACATATCAGAAGCCTCTTGTCAAGCCTGTAGAATGAGCATCACCGGTCCACTCCCACATATTCGTGGACCATGTTATTAATCTATCATATTTCATTTGAGCAAAATCTACAATAAATCTTTCATCGTACTATTTACAGTTATCATTTTGAACATGTTACATTGAAGTCCGCTTCTTCACAAGGACTGACATAACTGATCAAAATGTCCAGAATTTGAATGGAACATATATCAACAAGGAACTCAATACATCATCTATAATATGGTTCACGCAGCATTGGTAACAGTTTGACGACTTTTATATTTACAGCTTGTCCAAGTAACGGTCGAGACATGGTACCTCAAGACTAAGGCCCTTTCGTTTTCTTGTGTCGGTAACGATCTTACCAGGCTTAGATGCTGGATCCAATGCATCTCCAGGAAGAATGTTCCAATGATCAAAAACACACTGAGGAAAAGCTTGGCCACCGGTACAGGAGCGAAGATCCGCAGTAAATCCTGTTAGAATTAAGATAAGAATGTTATATAGTACTTCATGCAGTCGTAGTTCAAATAAGCTCTATAAAGAAGCTACGATTTCGGCGGTATTTCAATCAGTGGCTTAGCCAAGTTTTTTTTCGGGGTCAACACCCCCTCCCTTTTGAATTTTTTTTCAAAATTGAAAAGTCGCCAATAACGCGTGCAATTGCCGGTTGTTTTCATCATCATAACGTGTTGTTTAGGCCATAAACGCCTTTATGTTGGTGTGTAATGTGTATTCTCTCTAAATCAAATTCTCCACAAGTTTGGTAATTAACATTAAACAAGGTTGAGTTAATTTGTGATGATTGATATATAATATAACTAATGTAAAGTATACTCGATCAATTTTTATTGTAATGAAATAAATTTTACAGCAGATTTACAAATTTTTCTAAAAGTTTATATTTAAAAATAATCGGGAGTGGCAGTGATATGTATTGACAACAATGATATGTATTGTGATTGATACAAATTTTTATGTCAGCGGATTGCCGTGGTGTTTAAGAGTGGTTCTCGTTTTGTCGCCGCAACCGCAGGTTAAATTGAAGACAATTAAATTAATACAGCAGGGCATTTTAAACATGCCCGTATCGGTCATGGATTGATTACTTTGCATAAAATCCTCTTTTAACAAGTGGCGTAAACGTGGCGACTGTTCGGCGTGGATTTCAAGGTGGTGGTATGTAATTTTGATTTACTGGTATACTTTTTGCATTGTATGGAAGTAAAATTGTACTATACCGGATTTTATATGAGATATTGAGATTTTTCTAACAGCGATAACGAGTTCGCAAAAATACGTATCAAAATTAAATACAGCTTATCTCATATTTTAATGTCCACAGATCGCAGTGGTATTTTAGTATAGTGATATTTTTTTTTTGACGTAAAAAGTCGCAACCGTGAGTTACGTTGGACACAATTAAATTATTAATATATAAGGACATTTTAGAATACCGTAATTTTCATAGATTGGATATTTTATGCGACAGGAAAATCATTATACACTAAAAAAGGCAATGTAATGTGTAATCGCGGTGACTGTTACCGGCGGCAATGGGAATTTGGCTGTGCTCCTGATCTCAACTATTCGTACCGGTATTAGAATTACATAGTGCAGTAATTTAGTTAAGAACCATATAAGCTTAGACCAGTGTTCTTCAACCTTTTTTATCGTGGTATACCTTTTACAATTTTTCAAGAGCTTTGGATACCTCACAAATACCAATGTTTATTTAAGGCTAAAATAAACATAAAATTTAAGGACATATCGTACTGCAACATCATCATGCAATCTAATAGGCTAGTGACTGACGACCTTAGCGCTAACGGGTATAATGTTCAACGGATATCAAACGAAGAGCAGGACAGCCGAAGTCACCAACCCAAACACGTGACCGCATTATCTATATAATTTGTGATGTAACAATGTGCTCATGTCGGTTCTTTGCTTAACTGACATTTTATATTTCATTTGCGCCGCGTTTGCATTGTTGTCTCCGCTTAAATATTTCATAATTTAGAATCACTGACTTAGGCTGTACACCCTTTATCAGTTGTATACCTAAATTATGGTCCGGTATACACTTGGGTATACTGTATACCCGGTTGAAGAGCACTGGCTTAGACATGTCAAGACAAAAACTAGACTCCAAAAACAGACATTTTTTGGATAAATGGCAGCAGTGGTGAATCCAACGAAGTCCAACTAATCGTCGCGCATTTTGGGCGTTACACTCCCGGCCTGCGAACAACCCTCCGATTAAAATTTTGGCCCGCGGCCAATAAAGTTTGGGAACCCCTGCCATACACCAACAGTATAACTGTGTATCTTACCGAATGACTCATTCACAGGTAAATGAGCTTTCACGTTGAACATAGGAGTTCCAGTTTGTTTGTTTTCTTCTGTAACATGTCCTCGACGACGATTGAGTACGCCATAGATTCCTCCGACAGCGGATTCAGGACACTATATTAAAAAAATATTCACGATATGGAAGCGGATTCAGATACTATCATCATAGTTTATGTCTACAGAGGTATATATTACCAAATTATAAGTGGTCATCAAGCATAAGTGATATATCCACACTCTAAACAGTAAGGGATGTTTTATAGCTGAATTCTTATACAAAAAGACTAAACAAACGAACTCTAGTTTTTTAGGAAACTCTAGGAAAGCCATTAGCAAATGACATACCTGAATTTCAACCAAATACATTGGTTCATAGAGCGCAGGTGCAGCTGTTAACTGACAAGCATAGATGCACCGTCTTGCGGTTGGAATAACTTGTCCACCTCCTCTATGGATAGCATCAGCATGCAATGTAACATCATGAACGTTGAACATAACACCCCTCATGTTCTCCTCACATAGGACACCTTCTTTAGATGCCCACTGGAATCCAGCAACAACCGAATCTTTGATTTCGTTCAGATATTGAACACCCTTGGTCACGTCCATGAGAAGGTTGGGTCCTGTAGTATCGGGTCCAAAACACCAGATCTTGCGGGCTTCATTAACATCGAATCCATATTTGTCAGCCAATAAACGAGCTCTTAATTTTAAATCTTGGCGAGGAGCGACGTCACCCTGAATGAATTAAAATGGAGAGGCAAACATAAATTTCAGATACACCATCCTTTATAACTAATCAAAAAATAAACTTTATAAAACAACTCACGTCGTCGATAGCTTCAGCCAAACCATCAGGAAATTTTTTTGCCTTCATGTACAATCTATTATGTTTGTTTGGGGATTTCGAAAGACATGTGATGTAAGATTCTTCATTCACAGTTTCACGGTAAGATACGACCGGGTCAGATTTCTGGGAATCAATGAAATTATTAATACAGTACTGCAAAGGCAGATGAACGTTAAACAAAAATACAGCATTGTCGCTCAAAAAGCAGAAAATTTGTCAAACAACCATTTATTTTTACAGAGTTTTTTAAGGCATATGTTATATTACACTCATAGATGCTCAAAATGTTGTATGTGCACTTCAGAGCAGCGTTTAATCTAGAAGTCCAAGCTCGTCTAGCTATTGAAGGTTATTATGCTGGCAGGGGCGGACACCCGGGGGGGCGGTCGCCCCCCCAATAATTTCGCAAAAAAATGTAATACATGTTGTTCCCGCCTTACAAAACTATCATTTCCGAAAAGTGCGATAGTCAAGCGCAATTAAACGGTTAATAGTCACCGATATTATAACTGTTTTCTCACAATAATGTGGACCAGAGCGTCTTCGGAGCACCTCACATTTTCGTGAAAACATACGAGCCCGCACGGGTAATACTCCGTCTTCAAATGCACCGCCGATCACGCGCCACGGTTTTGCACAACTAATTCATTTTTGTACAATTTAATATGATTTTCTCATTGTCAAAATCTTTCAATAGTGTTATTGTTGGCACTTGCGAGAGAAGTGAAAGAGGCAAACTGTGTTCATTACAACAATTAATTAATATCGCTAAAAAATTAACTAGATCTAAAGTTGTTATAAACAATTTTCACCGCTGGACGTATCTTTTCACGTTATGGATTTCGTGCAAGGCCCAGCATAATTTGCGGGCAAAGATCAGAGCATTTACTATGTCGAAAAGTTGAAAAGCGGCAATATAAAATACTAAAAATAAAACTGTAAACAATATAGGTTTTGTTGAGGCCCGCCACAGTCTAAAACGCTTTTCTAGGCATCGAAAATCGTAAAATTTCACAAATTATGTTTGCTTGACCTTTAAAAACATTTCGTCACTGAAATCGAAACACGGTCAATTGTGAGCGGGATTTCTCTTTTATCCATTACTTTTAAATTGACGTCGAAAATTTTCGTGTTAACAATAAACAAAGCTGACAACGCGACTTTTCCCTGGTTTATGATAATATATAAAATAATTAAAGTATTTTCGATCACTTTTTATATTTATTTATGTATTTTTATGGTACTGAAATAACTTTTACCACGTGAGAATTGACAAAAAAAATATGGATTTTTCGAAAGGTTTTATCTTTAAAAATAATCGGAGTGACAACATTGCGATTGGTGCCAGTGTTACAAGTAAATCTCAAATTTATCGAATTCGCAAAATAGCAAAAATACGGATCAAAACAATATATAAACGGGCAGTTTACCACACATTTTTATGTCCGCGGATTGCCGTCGTGTGTTAGAATGGCTCTTGTTTTGTCGACTCAACCGTAGTTTAAATTGAAGACAATTAAAATAATAAATCAAGACATTTTGAATACTTTGCACAAGTGAAAAATCATTTTTCGTTGATAAAGTCGGCTCTTTTAACAAGTGGCGTAATCGCGGCGACTGTTCCGCGTGGATTTCGAGGCGGTGAATTTGTATTTTTGATTTACTAGTATACTTTATATTTATTTTCATTTTATGAAGTAAAATTGTACTATATGGGATTTTATAGCAGATATCGAGATTTCTGTAACGGCGATAACGAGTTCGGAGATTGCAAAAATACGTATCAAAATTAAATACATCAGGCAGCTTATCTCATATTTTTATTTCCCCATATCGCCGTGGTACTTTAGTTTAGTAATATTTTTATTTTGACCTAAGAAGTCGCAATCGCGAGTTACGCTGCACACAATTAAATTAATATATAAGGACATTTTAGAATCTCGTGGCTGTCATGGATCGACAGAAAAAACATTATACGCTTAAATAGGCGGCTCTTTTAACTAGCGCGTAATCGCGGTGCTTGTTGCAGACGGCAATGGGAAGTTCCGACCTCAAATTTGTTATTTTCTGTTTGTTAGCAAGAGCCGTGGGCTAATTCTCACGGAATTCAAGAAATTGGTTCAGTGACGCGCAAGTTCCGTGTCCGAGCAAAGCAGCCTAGGTAATCGATATATGAGTAGCAAAATGACATGCCAATACTTAGAGAATGACATCGACAGGTTATTGTTACGTGACGATACACGGCGCGGTGTTTTTCGGTAGGCGATCCAAGTTCGCCCCCCCCAAAATTATGGAAAGTGTCCGCCCCTGTATGCTGGATACCTTTCCACTTCAACCTCTACATATACACATTTTCTTCGTGATCTCATTCTACCTTCCAATTTTCTGCTTTTCTAGCGACCACTTTGTATTATTACATATATGATTATAAACCTTCAGTGGGATGCAGGCATGATCTTCTTCCAAATCTTTCATGCAAATCTCGAGATGCAATTCTCCTGCCCCAGCAACAATGTGCTCGCCACTCTCTTCAATGATGCACTGAACCATAGGATCAGATTTTGCCAATCTAGATATATATACATTATCTCTGTCATCTATTCCAATTTTAAATTAACACAAATCTAATGCAAATTATATTCAAGAAAGCAATCAATTCTCGTTATATTGACAAAGCTTGTTTTTGACAGATTGGTAAAATATGAACCAAATTGACTAAGGACAGCGGTTCCCAAAAGTTGTGACACAGATTGTTGTAAATGTGCCGCAAAAATTACCAGAATTGTGTCAAACAGCTAAAATATGATCGAATATTTCATCTATTGTATTTATTATGTTTTATTCTATATTATTTTTAATCAATTAATTTATTTTACCTTTCTATGTCGTTGACTTTCTGTTACGTAGTGTCGGTTCGATATGTAACAATAGAGATTACTTTCTGTAGTTTTCCTTTTGTAAATAATGGGTGTGCCATTATTTTAGCCCTAAATAGAAAATAACTTACCTTTTCAGACCTTCCACAAGCTTAGGAAGATCTCCTGGATTTTTGGCTTCCACTGCAACACGAACCACAGGCGACACACTGAACTTCATCACTTTCATGTTGTGAGCCTGTTGAATTCAGTGTGGAAATTCAATAATTAGATTTTCAATATTATTACTCATCTACGTTGCGCGTAGAAGGAGTAATGCTTTAGAAGCGAAAACAAGGTTGTTGGAACAAGTTTAATAAAAAAAAAAATTAAAATCAAAAATACATACAGTTGCCAAAGTTGTGATGGTTCCAGTCTTGACCAGATACTGATCCACTCCTACCAAACCAGCAATATTACCGCATGGCACGTCCACAATTGGTTCAATGTAACGTCCCATCATAAGAATAGTTCTACACAAATTAGACAGTTGAATTAAAAACTTATGTATGTTGAAATGAACCAGTAATTCTACGACAACCGTCGAACGCATATCTGACTGCAATTAACACGTGTAGAACGCAGGTCAAGCTAATTTAATAAAAAAATAAACATTTGAACTGATCACACTCCAAAGAAATTTACTATAAAGCTTGAGAAAGGAAGAGAGCTTAAAATGTTATGAATGAAAATATATATACGCTATACATATATCTATTTGTAGTTGAAGGGAAATGCATCAGTGTATGGTGCTTAGGGGTTGTAGGATATGAAGACAATACTACATCACTTCTTGATAGGTATGGTTTACTTACAATTTTTGCATGCACAACAATAAAATCTCGGGCCATTACATGAGGCTCAGTATCAGTACCAGATAGTCGGTAATAAAAATAACACCTTTGAATCTGCTTGGTGTACAAGTCGTCTTTTTTACCAGGAGTATAATGAGGACCCATGATTCGAACTTTCTGCCCGGTTGCAACAGTTCCAGAGAAAACTCTTCCAAAAGCGTAGAATCTGCCTTTGTCACTTGTAGGCACCATTTTACTGATGTACATTATCAAAGGTCCTTTAGGATCGCAGTTTTTGATACCTTGAGTAAAAGATGTAAGGTTTTAAGTCATGTCATGGAACAAATCCCAACCCTAATTATAGGTTTTACCGATCACTTACTTATAGATGAAAAAATTGAAGTGCCACATGTTTTCAAAAAACTTTTTTTTTTTTTTTTAGTTAAAATTTGAATAATCCCATTCATGATTTATCTATATTATAACCCAATTTCAATTTAGAAGTTGAACACATCTAAACAATTAAATCAATCTCACCAATTGCGGCCTCGTCATCTTGGGGGCCTTCATATAAAAGTTCCATACGATACTTCTGTGATGTCACAGGTGATGGTAAGTGGATTGCTATCATCTGCAGCAAAGTGTCACCAGCTGGCAGCCAAGTGCGCATGAAGACCTGGGGAAGCAAAGAAATGTTGAAGCCATTAACCATATTGTACCATTATATAAACAAACAATACAGGTAATTTCAAAGTAAGAGGCATAATTCTATAAGCTGCGCTAGTGTGTCTGAGAAGTTGTAAGTACGCGTTAACTTTCTCTCTTGTGGCCTATTTAGTTGAGCAAATATAGAAAACTTCACACGGAAATAACTAGGGCCCGACCGATATATGCATGCTAATTAGGCTTGCACGTAATTTACGGATTTACGGAATTACGTAATTATTTTGAGTTACGGAAGGGAAGTTACGAATTCCGTAAAGTCGTAATTATTGCATTGAAACGAGCTTTCTTCAAAGCAGTCAATTTCGTCGATTGCGAAAAATGAAAGCTCAACAAGTAGAAGTTAGAGTTCCGGTATTCGCAGCCGTTTTTCTCTCTCTTGTTACGTAGGTGAAGGAGGGCATGACGCGTTGCCATTCACTAACCTATTATCAACTTCTCTGGCATGGCCAATGTAAATTATTAACGTAGTTAAGGGGGAAGAACTGAGTAGGGCTGTTTGACGCCAACACACCTGGTTTTAACTTCTCCCGTAACTTAACCGTAGATAAGGGATAGAATTGCGTTAAGACCGTTTGACGCCAACACACCTGGTTTTAACTTCTCCCGTAACTTAACCGTAGATAAGCGATAGAATTGCGTTAAGACCGATGGACGCTAACACGCCCGGTTTCAACTTCTTCGGGTGAAATGACTAATGAACGCAGGAGACCAATCTTTCAAACATGGTCTATCAAACATTTGTATCCATTTTACTTTTATTTATTATTTACTTGTTCCAGTTTTCCGTTACTTATGGTATATATGTTCCGTTTCTATCTCATTTTATTTTATAGTCACGCGTTTAAATAGTGGGAATTCACCACCAAGTGTGGATTAGCAATGCTTAACCATTCTTTAATGTTAATATCAACACTTGATATATGAATATGGGATATCATACTGTTTTTGGCTGTTTTATTTCAGACTTGGGGTATAAACAGGAAAATATCCATAACCTTTCAACACGACGATTTTGTGAAAATTAACGAAGAGCTTTCGCGACGAATTGGAACCAAATAAGCCAAAAGAGCGATTGATCACTCGCGCCAATACCTCGCCGTGATAATTAATGTCGCGCTTATCAAATAGCAATATGACGACAAAAGAGAGATTGCGTAATGAACCAACGCAACTTCGTCTTCTCGGCATCGGTAAAGCGATTGAGACGGCAGAGAAACAGCAAAACGACGGGTTCCTCGCGGACCGCAAAAAAATTTAACTGCTATCATATATAATCAAATATGAGCCAGTGTGTTTATTCTGTGCGAGATCCATTTTCTATTACAAAATCTTGATGTTCTGTTAACGGTTTTATCGTTATATATCAGTCCGGACTTGGCCTTGCGCAGGATGTTTTTCACAATTCCTCTCAATATTTCGGCCATATATGATTAACTGTCTTACCAAATGCGGCAACTTATTTTGATTTATCGTCTACTTGAATACCACCGGCACTCGAACAAACTTGTGTCAATCTTGGCCGATAGGATCGCCGACTTGAGTTAGCAAATAAATGTCGTGAGTGTAAAATAAATGTCACAAAATGCATTGTTTTGCGATATAACTTTTGTATTTTCGGAGAAGGCATTTCATATAAGTTCGATATTTAAATTATACTCAAATAAATAATATTTAATCTAAATTTATCGCAAATAATGTTTTAAACATTCAGTCCGCGAAATGATTAAATGTAAAATGAAGCATGGTAATCGGAATATCGTCAATAAGTCGACATCAATAATTATTATTATAAAATGCTAACAAGGCAGTAATGTCGGATAATGCAGAAGACGCTGCAAAAACAAGTCTTCGTCGCGAGGAAATCGCAAGTATAATCAAATGAGTGAATACGCTCGTCGTTGGTTAATAAATTAGAAACCCCTAATTTTTATTCAGTACTAAGGTGGTTTTAAAAAACTATCGTTTCCATAAATAACCGTATACCAGTGTCGGTAATGATAAAATAAAATTGATCGCATAAAAATGGGACGGTTAATTTGCGAAGGTGATAAAGGAAATCAAAGCTAACACAAAAGATAAAAATCAGAATAAAATTAATTTGAATTCACTCCTTGATATTTGTCTTTAACATCTGCCGATGGCGTGTAGTACTGCCAAGAATATGAAAACCCAACTTCAATGTCCCATTCGGAAAAGAAATGGATTCAATTGGTTGTTATGATAGGTTTAAATGCGTGGAAAAATATCGCAATTACGGGGTCATTACATTATTGATTTTGCCGTAATTACGGAATTGATTTTTGTCAATTACGTGCAAGCCTAATGCTAATATGATTGGAGCCAATGCAGAAAAACTCTGCTTTCTCAACTACCACATGAGACTGGAACTAATGAGTTACAATAAGTGTTCTTTCTTGCCATGCATACAATTTTCTTCGGCCCTTACACCGTCAATTTATAATATGTGTTGAAAATCGCTAAACTCAATGATGCACAAAGAAAGGCGTAATCATACTTTGTATGCAATTTTTTGTCATCATTGCATGAGTTTAACATTTTGTTATAGATTTCATTTCTTTTGCAAGAAAAACACAGAATTCTCAGACTGTTGCTTGTTACTTCTAGCCATCTTTATATGTGAGGAAACATCGGTATAGGCCTAGTTCTAGAAAACTGGCAGTATCGGTTTAAAAAGGCAGTATCGATCAGGCCTTAGAAACACCACACAAACGTACCTTCATCAGCGGTTTACCAGTTTTTTCTTTATCATCTCCTTTCAATGTAACACCAGTAACTTTCATCACTTTTTCAATGTCTTCTTTTTTATCGTTCATTATAGCATCGAAAGCCTGATAAATTGTGAAATATATGCTTATCAAAGTCAAAGAATTACTTCATATAAAACAGTAATAGGCAATTCTCCAACTCAAAAAAGATATTCTATTTTAGGAAAGACAAAATTAAATTTCAGAAGCTGGAGTGTTGTCTACGCCAGACACGTTTATACCTAAATCATACCTCCTTGTCCATTTCTTAACAATGAGAGAAATTTCATCAAAATATAAATTGCAACATATGTGAAATCCACACAGTACTGATTCAAAATCAAATTACCTTGTAAATTGGACCCAACACATAAAGGCAGAATGCACGCTCATTCGTGTCTGTTTTGGCTTTAGACCACTTCTTGGTTTTCATATCAAAAAAGTTATCTCCCCATAACTTTCCCATCAACTTCTCAACGGTGGTTTTGAATTTATCAGCATACATTTCAGCAAATTGTTTAAGAGAGAATGCCCATCCATGGAGTCCGGAACCAAAACCAACTGTTCCTTTGTTTGGAAATACCTGTTTAAATTAGCCATTCATATTACTGAATAAACGAATAGGAGTTGAAACATTTATATCAAGTAAATACTTCATTCAGTTAGGTACACAAAAAGCAGAATTTTTAGCATTAAAATGACGATTTTTCCATAATATGGAAATGTGGCATTATCAAATATAATGAAAACATACTCCAGAATCAGTGCACTGAGTCATGGAAAACTGATGGGGATGGAATTATAATCCCATTTTCCAGTATTTTCTGGCATAAAGTTAAGAAGAGTCCTGAAAATCAGGCCAAAAAATAGGCACAAAAAATCTGCTCATTATTCAGGAAATGCTGTATTTTTAATTAAGATCCAGATTTTCCAACTAACCATGTGCTTGAAATCCATTTTTTGATTATTTATGGCCCTTTTTAGAGTTTTTCGCTTTAATCAAGGCTCTATAAGAGTAGCCACTGATATCTAACTTGCTACTATTATTTGGAGAACTGGAATCTTTCTTTTTTGACAGTATACGACAGATGGGTTGCCCACACAGTAAGTCTTAAGAACAGGTAGAGCACCGTCCAAAATATCAGTAATTTGACCTGGATATCTCCGAAAGGTTTCGTGTCGTCGTCACCACCATATGTTGAAATAATGACATTGACGTTTTCAACAATTCGGCTGAATGTTTGATAAAGAGCTTCTTTTTCAAGCTGTAGTTCCAGAAGAGCTCTGTCCATCTTGTTCATGAAAACGATGGGCCTGATACGTTCAGCAATAGCTTGGCGAAGTACGGTCTCAGTTTGGACACAAACACCTGATAGTACAAAATATTTGCAATTGAAATCATGTCTTATGAAATACAACTTAAAAATTGAATGGTAACAATCTGCAGCAAATATTCTTGCATAATTTATGCTCAAGAGCAGTAATAAGGCCAGTACTTACCGCTAACACAATCAACCACAACCAGTGCACCATCTGTAACGCGCAAAGCAGCTGTAACCTCCGATGAAAAGTCAACATGTCCTGGTGAATCAATCAAATTGATAAGAAAGCCATTACCATCTTTTTCACATTTGATATATTGCATATCCTTTTCAGGCAGTTCATAAAAGAGAGAAATTGCACTGAAAAAATAATCAATTTCAGTGCTTAGTTTTATGAATGTAATTAAATATTTAATTTTTACTTACCGTATACAACAATATGAACCGGTAACCAATACTTAAAATCCAAACTTTTTTAACTCAATAATATCTATTTCAATATGGCTCCAATTCTAAGAATAACAACCATATTAAAATACATCAATTATAATAATGAATGCAAACCGAGATGATGTGGAGTCTCTATAACACCAAACTGGTACTGCCTAATAAACTATTACAGTACAGCACACTATCCAAATTTTAAGAATTTCCCTCCATTAGGCTCAATAAAACGAACACTCTATGTGTCTCACAAACGCGGGGCGTCTGGGACCACGGCAGATGCTTCATATCGCGCCATGCTTGTCTCAATAATAATATAAATTAATCGCAGCCGTCACATGACCAAAATTGCTGTTTTTTGCTAAAAACTTTCGAAAGCTACGGTAAAAATTTTTTCCTTCGGTAAATCTGATTATTTTTTCCCAAGGAATTCAATGATGACGTTACTAGATTGCGCTTTTTTGTAGTATATTGCGCAACTTCATTATACTGTATTATTACTGATATTGAGGGACAACAATTCCAGACGTCTCCCAAAGGAGGGGTGTCTGATCATCTGTAAAATGGTTTCTCTGAAACGGGAAAATGTCACCCGATTTGTATAGTGTGCCGTACTGTAATAAGGACACACAATCTAAGTCTCCATAACACCAAATCGGTACTGCCTAATAAACTATTAAGGACGCACAATCTAGAAACATTCCCATTGGATTCCCCCCAAAAAAATAATCTGAATTTACGCAAGGCAAAAAAAATTTACAGTATTTGAATTTTTTTAGCAAAAATCAGTCTGGAGGAATGGAAATTTTGGTCATGTGACAGCCAACATATGTCATGATTGACTTATCATCCAGTCATTTGCAGGACTAATTTTTTTCATGGATCTTGGAATTGTGCCCTACTGTATATTGAGAAATGTATTTGTTTTAAAGCTCACTTACGTTGACTTGATTGTAATGCATCTCTCCTGCTCATCCTTTCTCGTATCTGTAAAACGAGTTTCTCCAGCTTTCGCACCAGCAATGATACCAGCTTTGCTAACAAGGGAGTCTGTTAATGTAGATTTACCATGATCTACATGAGCAATAACAGACATGTTCCGAATATTGGCTTTTTTGTCCATGATCTCACGGATCTGATCGACTGTGAAGTTCACCTAAAAATAAAAATTATGTTTAACATCAGTCTACAGCAAAAGCGTGCAACAGGCCACCAAGCTATTTAGTGAGCCCTTTTGAACAACCTGATTTTTCCAAATCAAGTATATAATCCTAATCTGACAGTTTATATTAAAAAAGACACTCACAAAGGTAAAAATACACATACATATACTACCCTAAGACGGCGAGGCGTCCAGCAATCCTCTTGCACATTTTATCCTCCCAGGATTTAAACCGCCAAACCCACAAAGGGTATCAGAGGGGTGGTCTGGTGGTGATGACTGGGTGAGTGTATTCCCAACGCTTAGCACAGTAGCACGATGCGCCGGGTCTTACTACTTACTGAATAGAACACGAAACAGCGCAGAATGGATAGAAACATTTTACTTTCATTATTTATTAGCATCCGTGAAATTTTAAACAATTTGATGGGAAACGGTATACAGTGGTAGGGAATGATCACGAGTTTATGTCAGTAATCTTCAACATCTTTAAATAACCAAACATGATGCACCCTAACCTGGTACACATACTGTGTTCAGGTTGTGCGCCATCTTGGTGCACATACTTCATGACGCACCCTAACCTGGTACACATACTGTGTAAACTCGTGATCATTCCCTACTACTGTATGTTGCCTCCCATCAAATTGTTTAAAATTTCATAGACGCTAATAAATAATGAAAGAAAAAAGTTTCCATCTCTTCTGCGCTGTTTTGCGCTCTTTCCCTCTCTTCTGCGCTGTTTCGCTCTCTATTCAGTAAGTAGTAAGACCGCGATGCGCCACACTGCTGAGCCCAAATTACTAATACTATTATATTGAAGTATGACATTTCAGTGTCAATATCGGAGAGTCAACCTCCAACCTCAAATGGTGTTGAATCATATAAAACAATCTTTATTATTTTGTTACCAGTCACCATTGCCACTGACTGATTGAAGATTTAGATATCTACCCTGTTTTTACATAATATAGCAAAGGACTGGCATTTACAAAATAAATAAAAAATACGTAGATCGCTACATAGACTGGATGTCAGATTTTTCTGTCTAAATTGAAAAGTGGGTTCTTCCCGTTCAGGTTATAGGCTACCTTCGCAAGAGTTATATCCACTTAAATCACGCTCAACAAGCCATATTATTCGTTCATATTGCGCGAAATATATCGACAGAGACATGATAGCTCAAAATTACATAAAATAAGCAAGATAAACTCACCATTTTGGATGTTTTGACTTCGTTTCTTCACTCCGCGTAAAAAAATCAACCCTCGAACTGAAGGGCTTGGGAAAGGAACGTTATGAAATGACAAAGCTGTAACGCCAACCTATTACGTCATAGCACCACGAAACAATATTGCGAAATCCAACAGTAATTATTGCGTCCCTACACGGATGAAATAAGAGAGGAAGAGATATTATTTGTCGATCAGATCAAACAGTCATGATATAATAAGTAAAATGATAATAATAATAATAAAGCAAAAAAAATTCTCATTCTGGAATATCCCCATATATGAGTATAAGTTTATTTTGACTTCATAAATCAGCATAAAGGCGATGAAATAATTGATAAAAACAAAATAAATAAACTGATTACAGAATCGGAAAAACGAACAAACCCTTGAGCATGGTTTAAATAAAACGTACATATTTCAGATTAAAAGGTGATGCCAAAATAAGTGGTACGTGTTCGCTCACCCAAAAGTATCAGGTTATTAGACCTTATTAATTCGAAAACCATCCAACGCGCGAAAAACGAAAGTGGCATGAACAAAAAACGAACAAAAAACGATTTTAACATTAGCTCTCATGGGGAATGTGATCACCAGAGCAAAAATTTGCATTTTTTGTAATTTTCTAGTTATCTTTCATTGTAGACGTATGCAGTTTTGGGGATAGAATATATTTTATATACTTTTTGATATTTTTATCATGATAGACACGGTCAAGATTTTTGATAATCGTTCATTGAAATTTTAATGGTCGTGGTGTTTCTGCTGGCATCTTTCTCACCATACCATGCCATTCTGCCAACGCGTTGTGGTCTGTGAAATATGCGCTCCAACTGCTCGTGTTTCTTATTATTATAGGATAACAGAATACCGGGACCACAACATATCGTGTTTGGCGCTAAAGAAAGACCTATTTTAGTTAGTAAAGTTTAGCCGGAATGGCAGTCTGTTCACGTATTAAATCAAGTAGACAAAAAAAAAACTAGAAAAAAGAGTAAAAAAAATATATTACTTGGTAAAAAGGAATATATTTATACAAATAAAATAAATTTCGCCCAACCATATTGATAGATTTGTAAGGATTTTGAAATTGGATACCGAATTGGTTAACAGGAATGAAATGTATAAAACAATGTTCCTAAAACGATATCGCCAAGTTGATTATAGTTGGAGTCTCCTAACGCCAAATTCCCGAAAGGAATTGCCAAGTTGGATGCATGAAAAGGTGGACTAGACTCTAGACTAGATCACTTCATTCACCATAGCTAGAATATAGCCAGATTAGATTCTAGATTAAATTAAATACTACTAATCAGCAAAAGTAATTATAATAGGGTGGTTCACGTAACCACTGGTCGATTACGCATCCTCTTTTATCAAGTCCATGCTTCCGAAAACGAATAACTAACTAATCCCATACTCGACATGGAATGGTAACCGGACGAGAGGCCATGATTCGCCATACCGGCTTTCTTCTCACACGGGATAAATGTGTAAATCCTATCCAAATTTGGTCTGACCTGGACACGCCACTGCGCGTCGCTGAATCAAACGCTTTGATTGTACAACGCAATTAGGTATTGACTCGAGAATCTGCACACACTTTTCCCAAACATACAAAGATGTCAAAGTTGAGTGTTAAGCCTGCGTTTTTTATTCGTTTCCATTGGCTATGATATTGAATCGCATAGAACTTTTTTTTTAATTTAGTAATCCAATGGTTTATACCAAATAGGTCAGCAATCTCATACAAGAACGAAAAGATCATTGACCCCACTACCTGAATGTACGGCAAGCCAACCAAACCCAATCACAGCGCCCCGAATAATGAAAGTTGGTGAAACACTGGTCTAAAGTCTGATATTGGTAATGTTCGGCATGAAATTGAAACTAAATGTTCATAGTTGCTAAAATTTGTCAAATAAAAATAATTTAATTGAATCCTATTCAACTGTGCATATGTACTATATTATACATAATTTAAAATTGAAATTTCCAGCTCAAGACATCATTCAAGTTTACTACACAAATTGCGACAGCGTTTCAGACTTCGAATCGATTGGATTATCATGCAATGCACTCTGTGTTCGGATGAATTTGCTTGTGTATGCTAACGATGACTTGGACAATGATGATTATATCACCAAAACAGTGGATGTTGATCTGTCATGCTGTCTGACTGTCAATGCACAACCTTGGAATGGCTAAGTCTGATTGAAATCTTCCATCCAGAAAATAGAAAATAAATTACATAAACTTGTTTAAAATTCAATGTCTTATTTCAATATATTGAAAAGTGAAAGATTATCATTCTTGTATATAATAAAGCAACGATAAATTCTTAAAAATATAAAAGAATAGTAAAAGATGGGCCTACTTGTATATATTATAATAATCAACTATAACAACTTATTAAATTTAGCAGCAGCTTATTAAAGTGCTATTTTTTGTTTTGAAAATAAAGGGTTAGTTTAGTCGATTTTTGTGTGCTGGTTGAATGGGTAAAAATCACTAAGAATGGAACCTTGTGATAAAGTGCATAACATGACCGCCAGTTCAGTCCATAAATCCACAGTTTGTGGATTCACAAAGTGAACGAATAATCCCGACAATGCCTGTGACAGAATCCAGCGCAGTTAAAATAATTATATAGTAAAATTGAATGCATGAGGGTAAATGCATGTAAAATTGAATGCATGAGGGGGCTAATGATAAAAGTCCAAATAGTATTGAACCCACATAATATGTGATTATCCTGTTCAAATGTGCACCCCTGATCCTTGTCCTGCGCAAATGCTACTTTTTGCTACAATTATAAAAAATCAGATACAGTGAAATTGTATATACAGCACACATCTTAACATATTTTGGATGACAACATATTATGGCTCAACAATACAACCACAATGAACGCTGCATTGCTAAAAAGGATTTTCTGAAAAATACTTTGTAATGGCATTAAACTTCTATTGAAATTAAGCAAGAAAGATTTCTTTTCAATATTCATGACAGTATAAATATAACACAAATCCTGGCATCGAGTGTGAGTGTGTTGATATAACAGTATGTGCGACGTAAAAGAAGGCAGTTCATTTTTTAAGCAGGTTCAAATTGAGTTAAATTGACATAGTGTAATTATTCTTCTTCTGAAAAACATAACTTCGATATGTCACCATAAGAAAAAAATGTTTAGGTTCAAAAAATTCTTAAATAAGTAGTTTAGGGCTATTTTACAGCATGAAAGGCTCGAACCGTAAACGTTATGAGCATAAAAGTAATCCAACCATATAAACTTTATAAAGAGTGGACACAAGCCAGTTTGTGGGATAGTATTATAGAAATGTTAGGACACAAAAGTATGAATTTTATTTTTATATTTCATTTCTCATATAGATGGGTACGAAATAAATTTAAGTGAGAAGCCCAGGTTGAAAACTAAAAGATATTTTTGAAATTTATTTTCTCAAACAGAAGAAAATACAGCATAGCATTATGGCTTTTTTTAGTCTATTACATAGTATTGGTAACATGTTTCAATTGAGAAATACAACCAGAACCAATTTGGCAGTGTTACTCCTATCATATTTAAGTAAAGTGAGGGCACAATATTATTACGGAACAAACGGGACTAACAGAAACACCAGGAATCAAACCAAGTACCTTATTTCCTGCATTGGCACTCGCAGAGGTAAGATTGGGCTTAAGCTAGCCATTTTCACAATTTGTTTGGAATATATAGAGTATCAATTGGAATTACATTTGTCTGATCTAAGTGATTCAAGAGTTTCGATGCACTAACATTTGCTGCCATGCTCCATTTGAGGTAGCTATCCCCTTTTTGTCCTGAGCAAATATAAATAATACACACACATGGATGTTAAAAATGAATTAAATTTTGTAATACATTGAAAAATAGTTATATTTGATAAAATAAATCTTTCTACATTCCATATTCAAACTTTAGTAATTTTACAAAATAGAAAATTAATTAAAAAAAAGTTCATTCAAACTTTTGAGCTTCGACATTTCATTTTCCATGACTGGACAATTAACAGGAAAAATATTTTTGTTTTAAAACATAATCCAATTAGGAATACATTTCTGACGTTCTATAGCTGAAAATATGTTTTCATATTGCATTCAACTACAGAGCCCTTTTATATTTTAGCTTATGCAAGTCTATTTTAGAATGTCAGTAGAAAACTTTGACTCCATTAAGAGTGTGAAATTTCGATATCCAAATCTATAAATACATTTATAATAGATAAATTATGTTACAGATCCCATCACAATTAAGACGAAGACCACCATGGCCCAAGAGATCTCCTAAATATCAAGTACTTTCGAAAATATTGAGAAGTAACAACGATGGCATGAAATCTAGTTGAAATGAAATTCAAAATCATTGCAAATTGGGAATTTTAAAATTACTATTTGTCGAAGATCTCTTTATTGGAGAAGTGCTGTTATTATTTAGAACAAATGAATCTATCAATTCCTAACTGCCACCAGAAGGCTATTACCTCTATTTTTTTCAAATTCCCTCGTATGGGACGTATGAGTCGTATGGGACCGGATACTTCACCCCAATATTTGCTGTTTTTATTTTAGGTCACGAAAGCTGTGCTATTTTCTATGCTGTATGGATGTACTTTAAACTTTTGTTACGAGATCGAGGTAGCCTACCGGCATACAGTTGATGTTAATTGCTACAGTTTTTGAAAGAGTAATCGCTACTAATTAATGACGACTATTTTAATACAATCTGGCCTTCAAAATTAATTTTGCATAATTGCAACTTTGGTTTGAAGCTTTTGCTTGATCAGATAACAGATTCTAGTTAAACTCACATACGCTACCGGTACCGTAGTCAGTCATGAAACCTTCGTGTTCACGTATTTCTCGTATTCGCATAGTTGTCCTGAAAGATTATATAAACTGCACAAGAAAATTTTAGAAAACAAAACTTACGAGATAACGACATTCTTAGTTAGGCTATTCATGATACTAACACATAGTGTTTTTATATTTTTGCAGACAATGCAATTCTGTTTTAGAGACTGGTCCTGTAAATGCATATATATACATGTCATGAAAAAAATATAGGCAGCTACGTTCTTGCTTTTACACCCTATACACAGCTTGGAAGCCCAGAATAATACAACGTACAATAATCAATATTTGTGTAATAAGAAACAAAAAAGAAGACAGCAATGGAGTAGAGCAGGGTCGTCAAACCTTTTTGGCCGAAGGACCACATGTAGTTTACTATTAAGTGCGCGAGCCACTTAAGATGGTAGGTATGTTTTAGTTTCGCTACACAGGTTGATGAAAAAACAAACAATACCCTCACGCCAAACTTTCACAATTATCATAGAACAATAAAACTGTTGTTTCCCAACCATTGATGGGACGTACCAGTGGTCATTCCCAAAAGTTTCGCCAAAGACAAGCCAAGACGCTTGATCATTTTCATCACAGCTCCCAACAAATCAATGCCCATAGTCTTGCCCTTAATTGGGACAATGGCTGCGAGCTCTTCGGTAATCTCAAAAGCATGATTACTAACTCCCCGCATGATAAGCAGTAGACTTGATGTCAGTGCTTTCGTCAAGCGCCAGGAAATACGATAAAAACTTTCCCGCTTTTGCAATCAAAGTTTTTGCTACAGAGTTCCCAAGCTCTTCAACACGACGAGAATTGTCTGTCTTGACAGGCCTATTTTTGCAAACGCCTCTTTTATTTCCGAACATAACATAAACATTGGCAATCCGAATAATACTTGCTTATCGAATTCACAATGTGAGAATGGCTTCGATTGTTTCTGCCACGAAGTAGCTCGCTTTTATAGATGTACTCTGGATTTTATGTTTGTACGTAGCGACTATGGCACCTTTATGTATCGATATACCCTCCCAGTTGGTTTCGATTGAAAATGACAATTTTCAAATGAGCATAAAGCGCAACAAATCTCTCGTAAGTTTTAACAACGTTTTAGTGGGCAGTTTTGTGAAATTCAAAACATCAGAGGCTGAACGGGGATGGAAGAACTATGCCGACGTCAACAAATTATACCCGCGGACAACAGATTGGATACTATTTCCATTCCGTCCACATTTTCGTTACACCCACAACTAAAGCTTTCGTCCATTTAAGGTTGCGCTTACACTTTTATATTGCAAATCCCTTTGTATACAAAGCATGTAACAATAAACCATGCTTGGATCTAGGGGGCGTAGCCAAGAGGGTGGTTTCATGGGGGTTGGAACCCCCACTTTTGAAATGTACAAAAAGAGCATCTTTCTGTATTATACATAGCGATTTTTTGTAGCTTGAAATGCTTTTTAGACCCTCAAAACTTATGAAAACACACGTTTTTCGTCGTTCGGCCGGGCCCGCTAGCTGTTTCGATCTAACTTGGCAAATATAAATTTGAAAATTTTTGGCTACGCCCCTTCTTGGATCAGTCAATATGATCTTAGACATTGGGAACTTATATGCTCGTCAATGGTTCATCAAAGGGTGAACCAAGATGGCGGACACCGGAACGTAGTATGTGTACCAGGTCAGGCCATAATTTTATTCCAATTTTAGTTCTATTACGAGTTCGGGGACTAACTAAATGGCTGTAGTATTTGTACCTGGAATTATGGCCTAACCCTAACCTGGTACACATACTACGTTCCGGTGTCCGCCATCTTGGTTCCCATACTTCGGGAGTACCCATCAAAGGACAACCCTAAATCAAGCTTCCCTAACCAATGATGACGCAGATGGAGATTGGTTCATTAGTATTTTATTATGTAGCAATACATTAAATTGATTCAATAAAAAGGAAACCAAAGCCATGATCATCATCCACCCGATAACAAATAGGATAGTCAGAAAATAAAACAATGCGAAGTGAAAATAATTTTCGTTTTAACATTTGTACTAAATACTGCATCGAATACTGACTAACCGGTAGTAAGAATACAATTTTTCGAAAAATTTATCAACAATACAAACATATTTTCCTTGTGCATGCATATGGTTCTTTTCTATATTTTCTGGAGTGAATTTACGGAAGCAATGATTTAACAAATTATTAAAAATAATAATTTATCTATTTATTTGTTTGTATATCAATGTTGCACATGGTAGGAAATGTTACAGCAGAGAAGCAAAATGTGTATAGGGGGAAAGCTATGAGAAGACCATGAATTCAGTGGATGCATATGAATGGGAATAACGTGTCTGCCAGTATCGATGGCCAGAATCAATACTTGCAGTCCTTTAAGATCCTTATCAGTGGAATATAAAAATTTAATTGAAAAAGATAATAATGCTCGATATAAAATAAAGATTATTGATATAAGATTACATATATGATTTGAGTAGATCTGAATGAAGCAATGAAGAATTCCTTCCCGAAAAGCCGAAGTCATTGTTGCTCCAATACACAAAAAAATATTGTTCATAATTTTCCTTTACGGAATCTCAGCACCTGATATAATTGGACATTGGCGAACCTATTACACTACATCTTCACTAGTCATTAGTAAAGGATTTATGTACTCAAATCCTTCGAATTCAGCTTGGTCAATTTTGGCTATAGTTCTTGGACTTGTGGGTGTGAGTGCTACTGGTTCTTCGGTGAATTGAGCATCAAAATTCTCAAGACCATATTCATCACTAATAAGAGGTTTGTATGGCGGAATAACCTGAACAAAAGAAATCAAATTAGATGTTTCTATTCATCCAAGCAACATATGAATGCAGGAAGATTAGTTCATAGGGGCATTATTGACAATCAGGCACAAATACAGCAAATAAATGTGAGCCAGTCACAATTTAGTAAATAATAATCAGCTTTCTGAGGGGGCCAGATTTAGAACAACCATTTTTATTACGCTATTATTTCAATTGATAATATAAACATTTAAATAACCTGTCTTGCTTGCAGTATCTCCCAATCAATAGACCTGAAAAATGCATGATCAATTATATCTTGGAAACCAGTTTCAGGATGACAACCGAGACGTTCCTGCTGCATTTTATTCAAGAATCCTTTCAAGACTGATGAAGCTTTCACTGACAGAGAACGAGGAATGCGAATCACTTTTTCAAGAATTACCTGTAACATGAAACAACGAACAGTGTTATTCGTCTTTTCGTAGTCCCTCATTAATTGCGATGGAAATATTGTATGCCTGTTTTTTTCAATTTAGTTTTTTATCCTTTCATGCAGGGCTAGGGAGGCGGAGCTGGCCTGAAGTCTTGCCTGCGCATTTCAATGAAGCTGAAATCAGGCTTACCAATATAGATGGAGCCGTAGCTAACAGGAATTTTAGTCGACATACCACAAAGTGCCTGTAATTGTAAACATTTTACTAAGCAATATCTGGATTCTGGGGATGCATTATATTATATACGAGCGAAAGAGCTCAGAAATGAAGCATAGACAATAGACATACATTAGGATTGTAATAACTTTCACTCGCATATTATAGTATGAGAAAATCTGACCTGGAACAAATAATCTTCAGTGTTTTGATCAGGGTTATCTGCCATACCAACAATATCAAATGGACTTCTTCCTGCCATCATTTCAAACATGAGTACTCCAAGTGCCCACCAATCAACCGAGAATGAATAGTCTTCTCCCCGAAGGATCTCGGGAGCAATGTAATTTGGAGTACCACAAAAGGTAGACGTCTTGTCACCTATAAAAAGTATACGCTTAAAAATCCTGTTAAACATGATTTGTAGACAAGCAAGAATAAATAGTGAGAGAAATTATCGTAAATGTACCTTTCAAAATTCCTTCTTTACACATGCCATAATCTGTCAGTTTTATGTGACCTTCGCTATCAAGAAGAACATTATCAAGTTTTAGATCTCTATAAATAATGCCTTTTTCGTGCAAGAAATGTAATGCAAGCACTATTTCTGCAGCATAGAAACGAGCATGATCTTCTGGAAGTTTTCTCTGAAATATAAAAATGTTTTATAAACATTCAAGAGAAGCCTATCAGCTATCATTCATAACTGAGTCGCTCGTTTAAATCTTATTTCGAGTTTTGGAAACTTATTCAAATTGCCATCCTGTGTGTTTGAAACCGCATGATTGTTCTTCTCTTGCCATTGTTGTAAACTGCTTGTATGAGAAAGTCTAATTTTAGTCGGACGAATCCTTACAGAAATACATTTGTGTTAGTGTGTAGCAGGACTCTTGAATCGCATATAGCTGTGTGTTTATTTTGTGCAGTGGCAGAATTCAAAATAAATTATCCAGTCTTATCAATTCCATGGCACATAATGCTAGGTTACACCAATCATTAAGAAGCAAAAATATGTTAAAAAACTTGCAAAGATACATCCAAGATCAAATTGAGTATTTATTTATTATCAGTTAGAAAGAAAGATCTAGTGTGGCTTTAGAACAGATTTCATCTACAGTCTGATAAAAACCATGAAACACCATCAAAAATGTCTTTTAGGACTAAATTCAACTGCATGGTGCATATAAAAGAAAACAATAACACCATTTTAAACAAACTTAACAATATTGTACTATTTTTGATATATTAAATAAACATGTTAATAACTGACCTGTCTTTGCATGTGAAACATAAGGTCTCCTCCATTCACATATTCAATAACAAAAAATAGGCGATCAGCTGTTTGAAAACATGAATGTAATCCAACAAGAAATGGGTGGTTTGAAGCAGTTTCAAAAACATGTTTTTCAGTTTGTACCTGGAAAAATAGAAAATGAGAAATTTTAACAAAAATCACTGGTATCTAACAATTGAATTAAAAATATGAAACAATTAGATGGAATTAGAAACAAAAATAATTAGATAATTGGGAGCTGGAGCTGCTAGAAGTTTTAGTTGCTTGATGCTATCAAGCTTGGCTCCAGCTCCAAAATGTGATAATTCCATCTGTCCAGCCCTGGCTAGTTGAATATTTGCAACAGATAGGAGATCTGAACCTCTAACATTACTTTATTCCCGGCGAATAAGTCCACATGGTAAATGAGACGAAGCCTATTTTTAGCACTGAAATTTTTTTTTTCATATAACCCTCCAATAAGACTGGACAGAAAAAAGGCTTTTCTGTTGGTCAGTTAAGCACTAATATGTATCAATAATTTCATATAGTTAGAAGTTAGATCCAGGTCATGTTCGTTTCAGGTAAAATAACACTAACAGCATTAATTTTTAACAAGAAAAGGGTAAATTTAATCATTTTGAAAAAGCCATTAACTGGAATGTTGAAATAACCTATAAATATGGTGTGATAAGAACTGCGCTGTACGTCCAGGTTTCAGGTAACGACTGTTTTTCAGTCTGGTGTCCTATTTCCCTAAATCAGCAAAACGGAAGGGTCATAAATCAATCACTTTATCTTGTGGTAGCCTTTTTCTTTCTGAAGTACCGAAATCAGTATAATCAGGGAGTGCGTAACCGTCCACTTTTTAAAAGATACCAGCTGGTAGTACAAAGTCAATTAAATAATCTTGATCGGCAGACACTTTGGTGGCGCCAATACATCATAAAATATATCAAACCAAACATAAAGCTTACACAAATCATGTTTGAGAAAACTAGTCTGAAAAAAGGCCGACTTCAGAAAATATAAAATAGGCATAATCACCCAATGAGACGGCCCCCCCTAAAATCAGGCCACAAAATTGGGTCTAGAAAAGCAACTTAATCGCCGGAAAATTCGGCAATTTAAAAGCCATTGAATCAATGATGAGAATAGAATGAAAACAAGAAATATTGAACATCTATCTACCCAGTCGACATCTTCTTCATCAGTGACAAGTTCCTTTTTTATAACTTTCATCGCATAAAGTTTTTTACTTTTCTTCAAACTCACAAGAAGTACTTTAGCATAACTTCCTCGACCAATAACTCTCAACATATCAAAATCTCTCAAACCAAAGCCAGAGGTTGTCCTCGATGTCGCATGCACTGCCTCACCACCTGTACCAGTGGCAGGATTGTAATGAACCCTTTGAGCCTCCCCCTCTTGAATATGCACAGAACCAGGATCATCAGTAGGATTGGAAATCGGAATTCGTGGACGACGTCCTTTTAATTTCTTCAACCTACGCTTTAGTTTGTACCATCTTCTTGCCCCACGACGATAAATTTTATGTTCACCCACACATTGAACCCCGGGCTCAGGAGGTATTCCTTGAAATATATGAAGAAACAGAGTATCATCCTCATTCAGCTCATACAGTCTTAATGCCTCATCCAACTCCAGTTGAGATGTTACTGTACACAGATCACCTTCCTCGTCTAACCATTTCAAAGTGAAAAGTTGAGCATCTGAGAATCCACAATTAACTCGGATTTGCACCCATAGTTCATCCATTCGTATTTGTGGATCGAGGTTCAGGTTCAAAATTTGATTTTGATACGCTAATTTTGAACGTACCATTAAATGTGAGGTATCAACAGACATGGTCAAGTTTTGAATGTAATTGATATACAATGCTAATTACAATTTTCGGATTTTAAATTCATATACCTAAAACATAAAATATGAATAATGAACTCTAAAAGGATAGCCTACCGGTCTGCCGGTACCCATTTAAAGCTATCCCGGCTGTCTTCATTGACCATATTGTCATCGAGAATTCATGCGCATAGCCTATTCTCTGTTCAAATATCGGGTTCAGTTCGAAAAATAGCAAGGAATAGACGTTACCGATGCCGGTACAAATAATTCGAATTTAGACTAATTAGTATTGGTTTTACATGCGATACGTTTTCTAACAATGTTAGGGGGAAACAACGAAACAAACGCATTCACCCTCAGTACAGCAGTAAGTAGGCTAGCGCTGCGCTACACAGAAACAACAGTAACCAGAACATCTTCCTGTATTATGCTGGATGGCTGAACGCCAACTTTTGGCTAATTTGTCGGGACAAGACGCTAAAAAACGGGACTGTCCCGCCTAAAGCGAGACGTACGGTATGGTAAGCCTGTACGTACCGGTATTATATATTAGTATTAACCTGCTGTCTGCTGACCTGTCTGCCTGTGTACGTTAACGTACCGGTCCAGCAAGAGTCAATTTTGTCCGACCTGATCCAAATTTATCGTGAGAACTGGAGAAACGACCATCCAGACACGGAGGATTTGTCATAATATATTGATATAGCACTATAGCACTTCCAAGTTCCAGTGGGTGCAGCCTATAACCTACATCTTGCCGACCCCCTCTCTGAGATAGGAATCCCAATGAAATAAACATATATTTCGCATTCCCCTAGCTCCCTCTACCGATACCTCTATTAGCAATTGTTCATAACCAACCCATATATATGTTTTCGTTTTGCTGACTTAGACTTTGAAACTACTTAAATTGAACATTCTAGAATCAAAACATGTTAATGCTTATATTAAAAGCTACCGATAGTCACTGGGTCAAAATTAATAAAATAATTTATGGTGTCATTCTGCCCGTACGACACCGCGATTGGTAGGTAGCCTTCTCACCGAAACAGAAGCACAAGTATAACAATCAAATATAGATAGGATAGGATTTACATATTTATCCCGGGGGAGAGGAAAGCCGATAAGACGGCTTATCCATATGGCGAACCACGGCCTCTCGTCCGGTTACCATTCAAAGTCGGGTATGGGATTAGTTATATTGCTTGTTTTCGGAAGCATGTACTTGGTGGTGGAGGAAGCCGTAACCGACCAGCGGTTACGTGAACCACCCAACGACGGCGAGGAGTCCAGCAATCCTCTCGCACATAACCATCCCTGCATGAAATTCGAACCTGCGAACCAACGCGTAGTAATTAGAGGTGCGGTGGCGAGCGTATTCCTAACGCTTAACCCGTTGAGCCACACCGCCGCGCATCACATTAGCATCTGTCTATTTGCACTTGGAACATTTGTAATGTCACTTCGTAACCTTCATGTTTTTCAGACATAGACATTTTCACCCGCGCTCATTCGCACCCATACCGTCGCCGTTTGGACCCAGGGACATATGCTGATATAAGATCTAAATTGCAATGTTATAGAATCAGGATGTCTATCTATCCCTCAAAACAACAATACTTGAGAGTGAAAATGGCCGTGTGCGCAAATGCACACAAGTGCTAATTCATAGATTTGTGACCTTTTTACGACGCTCACTCACGACTTTCGCTCAGACGGCTTCCTCCGCCACCAAGTCCATGAAACTGAAAACAAATAACTAATTCCATACCTGACTTGGAATGGTAACCTGACGAGAGGCCGTCGTTCACCATATGGTTTAGTCGTCTTAGCGGATTTCCTCTCCCCCGGGATAAATATGTAAATCCTATCCTATCCTACCATGGCCTGTACGTATAATATGATAGTATTTTGAGATATATAGGAAAGTAGAACAGTTTTCCTCTGTGTTAAATGTTTGTATGTCGTACAGAATTCCTTTCAAATATTAGTGATGGTGGGCTACGGTATTTGGATAATGATATAAGATTAAACTTGACGTTTGATATTCAAAATCGCTGCCTAATTGGTATTCACTTTGGTCGTTGCCAAATTGACTATAAACATGGATTCCATACCGTCCTTATTTCTAAGGTTTGTCCTTATTTTTGGCTTATTTTTAGCTTGCGTCCCTATTTTTGGCTCGCGTGTCCTTATTTTGTCTTATTTGGACTTTATAAAGGAAGCTTTGTGTTGTTTGTCTTATCGCCAAAGCTTTATTGTGGAATCATAAAAGCAAATAATCATATTTGGAACACAAAGCAGCAAGGCACAGATAGGCATGAAGCATTGTTAGTGTGGCGATCTTTAGGTTTTGTCGTGGTGGTGGATATTTTAGCCTAAATTTAAAAATGAGCAAACGTAAGAACGTTTTTCGTGAATACGGGAAAGAATTCAAAGTTAAACGAAGCTTGAAGAGTGAGTGCTTCGCATACTGTGACGTCTGTATTTGTGACATTAACCTGGAGCCCATAGGAAAGCCAGCTATTTCTGCTCACAATGCAGAAATTTTTCCAGTCGTCCTTATTTTGGGTTCCAGATCGATGGAATCCCTGACTATAAATCAAGTGAGAACATGCATTGGTAACGTTATGAGCGATTGTGCGACGACACATCCGCCATTTTGTGTCCAGAGATTTATCGTTGTATGATCCTAACCTAACCAAGAGATTTAAACCTGCGATCGTTAAACATTTGATTAAAAGAAAACGATGCTCAAAAATTCGGAATTTTCGCAGCGGCGAAACGAATGAACATTTTCCCGAAAAACTAATTTTCCGCAGATGTTTCTCAGATAACTCGGCTCGGGCGATATGGTCAGCAAATACGGAGTTAGGATTAAAGTTATCTAACTTCACTCGATAAATCAACACCCAATAAGACCAAAAATATAAAACAAAGAGATAAACATTTTATTATAAAAAATCCTGATGTAAGTATCGCTACTTGCACAGAACTTATTTTAACAAACTGGCAGAACTACAAACAAATTACACTACAGAAACATGCAACTATTAGTAAGGTAGGCTACATGTCATATTATTAAAATATGCGTATCGCAAATTTTCAACAAGGTGTTTATTGCCCAAATATATTAAAAAAATAAACTACATGCATGGAATGAAGGATAACGGCATATATCAAGGTTACAAGAAAATCTAATAATCTGGAGTGTATAACATAATATATTATTTATTTGACTTGATCTCCTCTTTTGAGTGAATATTTATTTGCCAGAAAAGTAACTGGCGAACATGTATATATATATTATGAAAGGCATTAATATTGGCGCGAAATATAGAATTTCTTTTTTTGGATGGGTGGCATAGATATTGGGTAAAATTATCAATTTTCGAATTTTTATCATGTGTGTAAGACCAAAATAGAGTTAGTAACGATTGTGGGCATTTATCGGGATTGACACTTTGCATAGAAACAAACAAACAATTTGAACCCCGCGTCTTTATAGAAATATCAAGGCTAATTTTTCACTGTTGGATATCATTGAAATTAGAATTGAGTTTTATCAACTAGAATGTGGAAGACATGATGGCGTCGCAATATTTTCCGACGCAAAAGAATGGAAATATCTTGTCATTAAGTTGTTAAGAGCTGTAACACCACTAGCGACGACTGGTCTGTAAATTTTGTACGTTATAATGTAAAAAACTTGTACGCTTCGATGAAATTCATTAGGGCGCACAATGTGCTAGCAATAAGATCGTTTACATTCGATAATTTTTGGAGCAACTGTTGCAACAGCTCGTTAAATCAAGAAATTTAAATTTTCCCGAGAAAATTCGGCATTTCATCAGCTTCTGGAATGATTAATGTAAAACGCAGGCTTTAAACGTTCGACATGGTGTGAATCTGGACAGGTATCACAATACCAGTTCAAAAAATACCTGTTTTGAACGTATGCTTTAGGTTAATGACGTTTCACACTTGCGTGGGTAAGCGGTATGTGTTTTTCATAAGGAACGCAGAGCCGCTACGTTGCAACGTAATTGCGTAACGAAGTAATTAGGGAACGTCGCTGTTTAACTCAAACTGGCGCAGCGGACATGTGACGAATTGGAGGACATTGAATAAAATAGCTTATGCTATTTTACTGGTGCACGATAAATTCAATCTAATGGTACCATTCGAAAGCTATCTTTAACCTCTACAAATGTGCCGATATCATATTAGGTTAAAACAAGAACACATCGAAGTTTTTGTTATTTAATTCAAAAGCTATTCAAAAAAATTTCACGCGTTTCAGTTTTGCTGATTTTTGTACGATAATCGCGACATTTTATCTCCACCTCATGATTTTAATTAGTCTCCTAGATTGTCTCTCAAACAATATCATCATTGCACTCGGTGTCTCCTCTTGGTTTATATAATAGCACAGAGATATACGATATATTTCCAGTTCAGTGGTTTATAGTCACTTTGGTCTTTGCTATGCTGTTCGTTGCCCATGGTTACCCTTCCCGTACTTGACGGTGCCCGGAGTCTCTTTTCTGTAACAAATTTGGTTTTTGGATTTTAATATTTAATATAATAATTGATATATTGTTCGTCTTATTTCTATTAAACTTGTATCAAAGTTAGATTCTTATCACAGATGTCGCTGCTCGATAACCAACTTTGGTTTTTCGCGTCACCCTTCACCGTGAAATGTCATTTTCAGCTTTTTTAAAATTCATGTTCCCAGTAAGTGCATTTTCATTTCAGTGAAAAATAAACTACTAACTGACTGTTATTGAAACAGAAGGCTCAAGTGTTGGGCAAAATTATAATCTTGCACCGTGTCGGATTTAGTGGTCATTGGTGAGATCAATAGCGGTTTCAAAAAGATACGAGGGTACGATAGATTGGGCTTAAATTACTTGCCGGTGCTTTTAAATTGTGATACCGTATTTTGAAACAAAGTTGATTGTTTACATTGTAAACTTTACAACATGTACATCAGGTCA